TGGCCTGACCCGTTCCAGAGCTTCCTGAATCCCGGCAGGTCCTGGCACTGGTCCCACTGCTGGGACTCATCCCACTCAGGGAGTTCATCCTACTGAGATCCCAGATCTTGGCAGATCCTGGCACTGATCCCACTGCTGGGGCTCATCCCACTCAGGGAGTTCATCCTACTGAGATCCCAGATCCTGGCAGATCCTGGCACTGATCCCACTGCTGGGACTCATCCCACTGCTGGGGTTGAGATCCCGGATCCTGGCAGGTCCTAGCACTGGTCCCACTGCTGGGGCTCATCCCACTGCTGGGGCTCATCCCACTGAGATCCCGGATCCCAGCAGATCCTGGCATGGTCCCACTGCTAGGGCTCCTCCCACTGCCTAGGTTTGGGGCTCACTCCCCTGCTGGGGCTCGTCCCATTCCTGGAGTTCATCCCACTCCTGGAGCTCATTCCACTGCTCGGGTTGAGATCTCGGCAGATGGCAGCACTGGTCCCGCTGCTCAGGTTGAGATCCTGGATCCCGGCATATCCCGGATCCCAGCAGATCCTGGCACTGGTCCCATCCCGGGTCTGGGATCCTGGATCCTGGCATTGGTCCCACTCTGGGGCTGAGATCCCGGATCCCAGCAAATCCTGGCACTGATCCCACTGCTTGAGCTGAGATCCCGGATCCCAGCAGATCCCCTGCCCCAGCCCTGAGCGCTGGGATGCCCCTCGGGCCCGGAAAGAGCTTGTTTGGAGCTGGGAGGGACCAGGACCAGATGGGCTTTAAGGTCCCCCCAACCCAAAACTGTGATTCCAAGACAATTCTGCGGTTCCCACTCTGGCTGTGCACTGGGATCACTGGGGTCACTGGAGTCACTGGGAGCACTGGGATCACTGGGAAGGCTGTGCCCGTGTCTCTCCCGTCCCTGCTGGGCTCTGAGCGGAGCTTGTGCCGGGCGGGAGGAGGAACAGAGGTGGAGGAGGAACAGAGGTGCTTTGTGTGGCTGCAACATGAACCGTGCACTGCCTGGGCGTGCCCTGCTAACGAGCCGGGGGTGCTGGGCGCCATGGCTGCCCCGAGCCCCGCGGGGCCCAGCCCTGGCTGCAGGGTCAGCCCCGAACCCAGGCAGGAGATGAACCCCAAACCTGGCCGGTGGATGAACCCCAAATCCTGCCAGTGGGATGAACCCCAAACCTGGCCGGTGGATGAACCCCAAACCCTGCCAGTGGGATGAACCCCAAACCTGGCCGGTGGCATGAACCCCCGCAGTGGGGTCAGCCCTGGCTGCAGGACCAGCCCTGAACCCAGGCAGTATGATGAACCTCAGCAGTGGCATGAACCCTAAACCCAGCCAGTGGGATGAACCCCAAACCTCGCCAGTGGGATAAACCTCAGCAGTGGGATGAATCCCAAACCCGGGCAGTGGGATGAACCCTAAACCTGGCCAATGGGATGAACCCCAAACCTGGCCAATGGGATGAACCCCAGTGGCAGAAGGAGCCCCCTGGCACTGGAATCAGTCCTAGGGTGCACAGACCCCCCCTGGAGTGCCCCCAGCCCCACAGGAAGGGCAGGAGTGGGTGGGGGCTGCAGTCCCAATCCCACTGGGATGCTTTGGGGTCACTGGGATGCTTTGAGGGCACCTCTGCTTCTACCATGAGCCTGTTGTGGGCTGGGGTTTGAGCCAGGTGCCTCAGGGGTTTTACCTGGACTGGAGATGGGTCCTGGTGGCTGTGGCTGGTCTGGGGAGCAGAAGGGTCCATGCAGGATGTCACCTGTGGAGGTGACACCTGTGAAGGTGACACCTGAGGAAGTGACACCTGCAGAGGTGACACCTGCGGAGTTCACACCTGCAGAGGTCACATCTGCAGAGGTCACACTTTCAGAGGTCACACTTGCGGAGGTGACACCTATGGAGGTCACACCTGAGGAGGTCACACCTGCAGAGCTGCCCCCACGGGGTCCTGTGGTGGGGATCTGTGGCCCCTGGGGATGGAAGCTCCTGGACAGGTGCTGGGGCTCCTCAGGACGCTCACAGGTGATGTGGTGGCTTTGCTTTGCCCACACCTGATTTTCTTTGGCTTTCCCACACCTGATTTTCTCTGGTTTGCCCACACCTGAATTTCTTTGGGTTTCCCACACATGATTTTCTTGGCTTTGCCCACACCTGATTTTCCTTGCTTTGCCCAGCTCTGATGTTCCCTGGGCAGTGCAGGTGTGGGTGGCTCTGGGACAGGTGTGCAGGGCTGGGGACAGGACTGTCACAATCCCTGCCTCACCCCTGAGGAGCCGCAGGGCCAGCTCAGCACCAGCTCCAGGTTATTTCCTCTTTTTTAATACATTTGCTTCCTTTGACTTGTTGAGACTTTTTGATGGCACACTGACTGCCCTCAGGGCGCTGTTATCTTTTTTTACTAAAAACCACATGTACTTTATTAACAATAATTTTCTAATACGTATTACTTATGTTAGACAGTCTGTCTCTACACTAAACCAATCCAAAAATGCCACCATCACAGCAGGAGATGGAGGCTAAGAAGAAGGAGAAAGACAGAACATGCTTAGATTCTTTTAAGATGTTTTTTGAACTTTTTCTAAAATCTTTTAAAATTCTACTTTTCCTCCCTGTGATAAATTCACTAACGTTCTGCTTGAACCCTCGTGGCTTGTAAATCCTCACACAAAGTTGGTAATTGTTTCCATGGGTTAAAATCAAAGGCCCAGGTGGTTTTGACTGGGTGCCAAGGTCTCTGAGCCCCCTGCCAGGGTCTCAGGGCAGTCAGAGGAATTTCCTGGGTTCCAACACTTCAGAGGAAATTCCTGAGTTCTGACACTGAGTTCCTGACACTTCTGCTGCTGCCTCCTGGCCCAGAGCACCAGCTGGAGATCAGCTCCAGCTCCAGTTCCCAGCCAGAGCCTCTCCAGGGACCTTCACCCCAAAAAGGCTGCATTTCTAAATCAGTGGCTGTGGCAGGGAGTGCTGTAAGAGCATGGGGTTCCTGCTGTTCCTGGGCAGGAATCATGTTCAGGCTGGCTCATTGATTATTTTTGTGCATTCATTTGTGCATTTGCTGTGGGAGGTGTTAGTGTCAGTGACTGTGGGAGCACTCAGTGCTCTGTCAGTGACACGGAGGTGATTGCAGTGAGCTCTGCTCACAGTGCACCTCCCAGAGCAGAGGCTCCTGTTCCTGCCAGTTCATTTATTGTTTTTTGTGTATTTATTTGTGTATTTGCTGTGGGAAGTGATTGTGGGAGCACTCAGTGCTCTGCCAGTGACACAGGGGGCTCCTGTTCCTGCTGGTTCATTTATCATTTTTTGTGTATTTATTTATGTATTTATTTGTGCATTTGCTGTGCACAGAGGTGACTGCAGTGAGCTCTGCTCACAGTGCACCTCCCAAACCAGGGGGCTTCCTGCTGGATCATTTATTATTTTTGATGTAATTATTTTTGTATTTTTTTGTGCATTCACTGTCAGTGACTGTGGGAGTGCTCAGTGCTGTGCCAGTGCCATGGAGGTGATTGCAGGGGGTTCCTGCAGGTTCATTTATTAATTTTTTGTGTATTTATTTATGTATTTATTTGTGCATTTGCTGTGCACAGAGGTGACTGCAGTGAGCTCTGCTCACAGTGCACCTCCCAAACCATGGGGCTCCTGCTGTTCTTTTATTACTTTTGATATAATTATTTGTGTATTTATTTGTGTATTTGCTGTGGGAGGTGTCGGTGTCAGTGACTGTGGGAGCACTCAGTGCTGTGCCAGTGCCATGGAGGTGATTGCAGGGGGTTCCTGCAGGTTCATTTATTAATTTTTATGTATTTATTTATGTGTTTATTTGTGCATTTGCTGTGGGAGGTCTTGGCGTCAGTGATTGTGGGAGCACTCACAGTGACACAGAGGTGACTGCAGTGAGCTCTGCTCACAGTGCACCTCCCAAACCACGGGGTTCCTGTTTCTTCCAATTCATTTATTATTTTTTGTGCATTTATTTACATATTTATTTATGTTTTATTTGTGCATTTGCTGTGGGAAGCATTGGTGTCAGTGACTGTGGAAACACAGTGACACAGAGGTGATTGCAGTGAGCTCTGCTCACAGTGCACCTCCCAGAGCAGGGGCTCCTGTTCCTGCTGGTTCATTTATTATTTTTATGTGTTTATTTATGTTTTTTGTATTTATTTGTGCATTTGCTGTGGGAGGTGTCTGTGTCAGTGGTTGTGGGAGCACTCACAGTGACACAGAGGTGACTGCAATGAGCTCTGCTCACAGTGCACCTCCTGCTGGTTCATTTATTATTTTTTGTGTATTTATTTGTGTTTTTATGTATTTGTGCATTTGCTGTGCAGGGTGGGGACTGCAATGAGCTCACACCTCCCAAACCAGGGGGTTCCTGTTCCTACCAGTCCATTTATCACTTTTAATGTATTTATTTATTTGTGTATTTGCTGTGCACAGAGGTAACTGCAGTGAGCTCTGCTCACAGTGCACCTCCCAAACCAGGGGGCTCCTGCTGGATCATTTATTATTTTTGATGTAATTATTTTTGTATTTATTTGCGCATTCACTGTCAGTGACTGTGGGAGCACTCAGTGCTGTGCCAGTGCCATGGAGGTGATTGCAGGGGGGTCCTGCTGGTCCATTTAGTATTTTTGTGTATTTATTTATGTTTTTATGTATTTATTTGTGCATTTGCTGTGGGAAGTGTCGTTGTCAGTGACTGTGGGAGCGCTCAGTGCTCTGCCAGTGACACAGAGGTGATTGCAGAAATTTGGTATTTTGGGGGCCTGTTCCTGATCAGGCCATTCCTGAACAGAAATTTGGTATTTTTGGGGTGCCTGTTCCTGAACAAAAATTTGGTATTTTTGGGGTCTGTCCCTGATCAGGGCATGCCTGAACAGAAATTGGGTATTTTTGAGAGCCTGCTCTTGATCAGGCCGTTCCTGAACAGAAATTTGGTATTTCTGGGGGTGCCCGCACAGCAGGCGGTGCCAGCCTGCCCTGACCCCCCCTGTGCCCCCAGGTGAACCAGGGGAACATGCCTGGCATCCAGAGCACCTTCCTGGCCATGGACACTGAGGAGGGCGTGGAGGTGGTGTGGAACGAGCTGCTCTTCACCGACAGGAAGGCCTTCAAAGCGCACGAGGTGAGGGCACGGCCTGGCACGGCCTGGCACAGCCTGGAATGGCCTGGAACAGCCTGGAACAGCGTGGCATGGCCTGGAATGGCCTGGCATGGCCTGGAACAGCCTGGCAGGACTCTGCCCCCTGGCACAGCCTGGTACAGCCTGGTATGGCCTGGCACAGCCTGGAACGGCCTGGCACAACCTGGCTCAGCCTGCTATGGCCTGGCACGGCTTGGCACAGCTCTGTCCCCTAGCACAGCCTGGCATGGCTTGGCACAGCCTGGCAGGATCCATGGTTGCTTCCAGAGAGCCCAGACCAGGCCCTGGGGCATCCCCAGAGCTTGGGGTGCCCTGCCCATGCCAGGAGCTCCCCCCTCACCTGTGCTGCCCATGCCAGCCCCTCACCTGTGCCCTGTGCGCCCAGGAGCTCCCACCTCACCTGCCCTGCCCATGCCAGGAGCTTCTGTGTGTCAGGAGCTCCCCCCTCATCTGTGCTGCCCATGCCAGCCCCTCACCTGTGCCCTGTGCCCCCCTCACCTGTGCCCCCCTCACCCATGCCCCCCCTCACCTGTGCCCTGTGCCCCTCACCTGTGCCCCCAGGAGAAGATCCAGACCATGTTTGAGCAGCTGGTGCTGGTGGATCACCCCAACATTGTCAAACTGCACAAGTACTGGCTGGACGTCAGGGACAGCAAGGCCCGGGTACGGCTGGAGGGGCTCTGGGGGTCTGGGGAGTCTGGGGTCCTGTAGGGGGCACTGAGCGGCTCTGGGGGACTCTGGGGGGTCTGGGGAGCCACGGGTGGGATCTGAGGGGGCACTGGGGGGTCTGGGGGGCTCTGGAGGCAGCTGACCTCCCCCTATGCCCCCCCAGGTGATTTTCATCACAGAGTACGTGTCCTCGGGGAGCCTCAAGCAGTTCCTGAAGAAAACCAAGAAGAACCACAAGGCCATGAACGCCCGGGTGAGCCCCGGGGACACCACGGTCCCTCTGGGGAGGGGGCTCTGAGTGTCCCTGGCCCTGGGAGGGGCTGGCAGGGCACAGGGCGCTGTCCCTGTCCCCACTGACACAGCCATGTCCCCCTGTCCCCTCCCCAGGCCTGGAAGCGCTGGTGTACCCAAATCCTCTCGGCTCTCAGGTGAGGCTCCTGCAGCTCCTGCAGCTCCAAACCCTGCCCTGAGGGCTGCGCGGCTGCGGGCAGAGCTCAGCACACTCTGTGTCCCCCGTGTGTGCCCCTGTGTGCCCCCTGTACCACGTGTGCCCCCTGTGTGCCTCCCCTGTGCCCCCCCATGCCCCCCGGTGCCTCCCCAGTTTCCTGCACTCCTGTGACCCCCCTGTGACCCCCCGTGTACCCCCCTCTGCCCCTGTGCCCCCTCTGCCCCCCGTGACCCCGCTGTGCCCCCCCATGTGCCCTGTGCCCCCCATGCCCCCCATGCCCTCTGTGACCCCCCCATGCCTGCTGTGCCCCCCAGTTTCCTGCACTCCTGTGACCCCCCCATCATCCACGGGAACCTGACCAGTGACACCGTGTTCATCCAGCACAACGGGCTCGTCAAGATCGGCTCCGGTGCGCCTGAGGGGGGCACGGGGGTCTGGAGGGGTCTAGGGGGGTCAGGGGAGGGCTGGAGGGGCTGGGGGGGCTGGGGGGGCATGGAGGGCTGGGGGGGTCACAGGGGTCAGAGAGGTTAGGGGGGTCTGGGGACGTCACAGGGGTTGGGGGATCTGAGGCTCACAGGGGTCTCGGGGGGTCAGAGGGGTGTGGGGGTGTGGGGGGGCACAGGGGGCTGGAGGGACTGGGGCCTGGGGGTTTGGGTGTGGACAGGGTTTTGAGGGGGTCTGAGGGGTTCCATGGGTTCCCAGGGCGTCCATGGCTGTGTGAGGGGTCCAAGGGGGTCTGAGAGGGTCGGAGGGGGTTGGCAGGAGGAAGGGGGCAGGGGTCCCATGGGGTATGGAGGGGTCACAGGAGTCTGGGGGGGTCACAGGGATCTGGGGGGGTCCTGGGCAGCAGGGGCCCCGAGAATCGCGGGGTCCCTTTTCGGGGTGCCAACCTCGCTGTCCTCTTTTCTTCCCCTCCTGATGCCCCCCTGGCAGTTTGGCACCGGGTGTTTGCCAATGGTGAGTGACCCCCCTCAGCCACCCCCTGCCCTGGGGGCAACCCTGCAGCCCCCAGACCCTCTGGGGCACCAGGGATGGGCTCTGTGGGGAGGGGGTACCGGGCATGGGGTACGGCCTCTGGGGAGGGGGCCCTCCATCCCACCAGGAACAGTCACTGTGGGTGGGAGTAGAGGGGGCTCCTGCCACGGGGATGGGCAGGGGCACAGATCCCCCCTGAGACCCCAAGGGTGGGCACACACGGAGACCCCCAGGGGTGGGCACATTCTCGGGTGGGCACTCATCATAGACCCCCACAAATGAGTACTCTCACAGGTGGGCACTCCCTGACCCCACAGGTGGGCACGCACAGATCCCCCCTCATCCCCTCGGACCCCCCTAGGTAGCCACTCACTGACTCCACGGGTGGGCATACTCAGGGTGGGCACACTCAGGGTGGGCACTGTCCCAGGTGGGCACTCACAGGTGGGCACTCACACATGGGCACATTCAGGTGGGCACTGCAGGGTGGGCGCTGTCCCGGGTGGGCACTCTTAGGGTGGGCACTCTCAGCCCCCTCAGCTGGGCACTGTCCCAGGTGGGCACACTCAGGGTGGGCACTGTCCCAGGTGGGCACTCTCAGGGTGGGCACTCTTAGCCCCCTCAGCTGGGCACTGTCAGGGTGGGCACTCTCAGCCCCTCAGCCCGTGCCCCTCTCTCTCTCTCCCCAGCGCTCCCGGACGATCTGCGCAGCCCCATGAGGATCGAGCGCGAGGAGCAGCGGAACCTGCACTTCTTCCCTCCGGAATATGGCCGTGAGTGGGGAATGGGGAAGTGGGAATGGGGAGATGGGAACAGGGGAAATGGGAATGGGGAAATGGGAATGGGAATGGGAACAGGGGAATGGGGAATGGGAGAAGCGGAACCTGCATTTCTTCCCACCGGAATATGGCCGTGAGTGGGGAATGGGGAAATGGGAATGGGGAAATGGGAACAGGGGAATGGGGAATGGGAGAAGCAGAACCTGCACTTCTTCCCTCCAGAATATGGCCGTGAGTGGGGAATGGGGAAATGGGAATGGGGAAATGGGAACGGGAATGGGAACAGGGGAATGGGGAATGGGAGAAGCGGAACCTGCACTTCTTCCCTCCGGAATACGGCTGTGAGTGGGGAATGGGAGTGAATGGGACACAGGGATGGGGATGGGGAACAGGGAATGGGAATGGGGAATGGGGATGGAAATGGGGAATGGGAATGGGGATGGGAATGGGAATGGGAATGGGAATGGGAATGGGGAATGGGGATGGGAATGGGGAATGGGGAACAGGAACGGGGATGGGAATGGGAGTAGGGATGGGAATGGGGAACGGGAACAGGAACAGGAACGGGGAATGGGAACAGTAATGGGAACGGGACCGGGAACCGGGAGCAGCAACGGCAACAGAGAATGGGAACAGGAACGGGAACAGGGAATGGCCATGGGAACAGGTATGGGAACGGGAACAGGAATGAGCACAGGAACGGGAATGGGGAACGGGGAACAGGAACAGGGGCTGGCAACAGGAACAGGCACAGGAACGGGACCAGGAACGGGAATGGGCACAGGAAATGGGGACGGGAACGGGGAATGGGGAATGGGAACAGGAACAGGAATGGGAACGGGAACAGGAATGGGAACAGGAACAGGAACAGGAACAGGAACAGGAATGGAACGGGAAAGGGCACGGGCACAGGAACAGAGAACTGGAATGGGAATGGGAACAGGGAATGGGCACAGGAACGGGCACAGGGAACGGGAAACGGGAACACGAAATGGGAACAGGAACAGGGAATGGGGAACGGGGCACTGGGAGGCTGCATGGGGAACAGGCACAGGGAATGGGAACAGGAATGGGCACGGGGGCTGCACAGCCAAGGATGGCAGGGGAGGGGACACAGGTGGGAACAGGTGAGGGCAGGGGAGAACAGGTGGGAACAGGTGAGGGCAGTAGTGTCTGCCCACGGGGATGGGATGTCCCAAGGGTATCCAAGTGGGGATGGGTTGAGGGTATCCAGGTGGGGATGGGGTGAGGGTGCCCAGATGCGGTGCCCAGGTGCACTCCAGCCCTGAGCTCTGCCCCGTGTCCCTGTCCTCCCCAGAGAAGGCAGACGGGACGGCCGTGGACATCTTCTCCTTCGGGATGTGTGCGCTGGAGGTGCGGGAAGGGGCCTGGGAACCCTGGGAGCCTGTCAGGAGGTGTCACCGGCTGGGCATGTCCTCTGTCCCTGTGCTGTCCCTGTCCTCTGGAGCCCCCCTGCCCTGTCCCTGTCCCCTGTCCCTGTCCACTGGAGCTCCCCCAGATGTCCCTGTCCCTGCCGGGTCCTGTCCCCATCCCCTGTCCCTGGAGCCCCCCCAGGACTGTCCCCTGTCCCTGTCTCCTGTCAGATGGCGATGTCCCTGTAACCCCCCAGCCAATCCCTGTCCCTGGAGCCCCCCAGACTCCCATGTCCCTGTCCCTGTCAGATGTCCCTATCCCTGTCCCTGTAACCTCCCAGCCTGTCCCTGTCCCTGTCAGCTGGCCATGTCCCCTGTCCCTGTCCCTGTAACCCCCCGTCCCTGTCCCTGTCAGATGGCCATGTCCCTGTCCCTGTTCCTGTTCCTGTCCCTGTCCCTGTAACCCCCCGTTCCTGTCCCTGTCCCTGTCCCTGTCAGATGGCCATGTCCCTGTCCCTGTTCCTGTTCCTGTTCCTGTCCCTGTCCCTGTAACCCCCCGTTCCTGTCCCTGTCCCTGTCCCTGTCAGATGGCCATGTCCCCGTTCCTGTCCCTGTCCCCGTTCCTGTCCCTGTCCCTGTCCCTGTCCCTGTAACCCCCCGTTCCTGTCCCTGTCCCTGTCAGATGGCCGTGCTGGAGATCCAGACCAACGGGGACACGCGGGTGTCAGAGGAGGCGATCGCGCGGGCCCGGCACTCCCTGGATGACCCCAACATGAGGGTGAGGGGGCTTGGGGACCTGAGGGGACAGACTCTGTCCTGTGTGACCCCTGGGGACAATCCCTGTCCTGGGTCACTTCTGGGGACAAATCTGTGTCCTCTGTCATTGCTGGGGACAGTCCCTGTCCTGAGTCACTGCTGGGGCTGAATCCCTGTCCTGTGTCACTCCTGGGTGCAAATCCCCTCCTGCCAGCTCCCAGTGGGTGCAGGTGGGCTCTGCCCTGTCCCTGCTGTCCCTGCCCCTGTCCCTGAGTGTCCTGGGGCTCCTGCTCCCTTTGGGTGCATCTCCTGGGGAATGGGGTCCAAGCCAGTCCCAGGGCAGTGCCCCCTGTGCTGGCCCTGCTGGGGCACCTCCAGTCCTGGGGCAGGTCTGGGGTGCCCAGGTGGGGACATGGAGGGGCTGGAATGTGCCCAGGGGAGGGAACAAGGCTGGGGAAGGGTCTGGGGGAGCTGGGGAGGGGCTCAGGGTGGAGAAAAGGGGGATCAGGGGGGCCCTTGTGGCTCTGCAGAGCTCCTGCCAGGAGAGGACTGTGGTGGTGTTCACAGGGCTCTCAGGGTGAGGGAAGAGACGAGGATCTGACTCCATGTTTCAGAACGCTGATTTATTATTTTATGATATATATTACATTAAAACTATACTAAAAGAATAGAAGAAAGGATTTCCTCAGAAGGCTAACTAAGAATAGAATAAGAAGGAATGATAACAAAGGCTTGTGGCTCTGACTCTCTGTCTGAGCCAGCTGGGCTGTGATTGGCCATTAATTAGAAACAACCACATGACACCAATCACAGATGCACCTGTTGCATTCCACAGCAGCAGATAACCAATGTTTATATTTTGTTCCTGAGGCCTCTCAGCTTCTCAGGAGGGAAAATCCTAAGAAAAGGATTTTTCTTAAAAGATGTCTGCGACAGGGGACAGTCAGGGGGGATCTGGGATTTATCCCAGGGAACGGGGACAGGAGGAGAGGGAATGGCCAGGGGAGCTCAAGGGGGACACAGCAGGAATTTCCCCATGGAAAGGGGGTCAGGAGCTGCCCAGGGAGGGTTGGAGAGTCCAAGGGGTGAATGGGCACTGAGAGCTGGGCACAGGGCAGGGATGGGGCACGGGGGCAGCTCTGTGAGCTCTGTTCCAGTGATCCCAGGATCCCTGTGTGACAGCAGGGCACTGCCCAGCCCTGCTGACCCCCCGGCCCTGCTGTGCCCCAGGAGTTCATCCTGTCCTGCCTGACCCTGAACCCCGACCGGCGCCCCAGCGCCAACAGCCTCCTGTTCCACCGCGTGCTCTTCGAGGTGCACTCGCTGAAGCTGCTGGCAGCTCACTGCTTCATCAACCACCAGTGTGAGTGCTGGGGGGGAGCCTGGGCCCTGGGAGCTGGGGAGGGCTGGGAACGGTCAGGATGGAGGGGAGAGACAGGGGGAGAGCTGGGAATGGTCAGGGTGGAGCAGAGAGCCAGGGGGAGAGCTGGGAATGGTCAGAATGGGGAACAGAGATGGGAATGGTAGGATGGAGAGCTGGGAATGGTCCGGATGGAGAACTGGGAATGGTCAGGATGGGGAACAGAGCTGGGAATGGTCAGGGTGGGGAACAGAGATGGGAATGGAGAGCTGGGAATGGTCAGGATGGAGAACAGAGCCAGGCTGGGAGAGCTGGGAATGGTCAGGATGGAGAACAGAGCTGGGAATGGTCAGGATGGAGAGCTGGGAATGGTCAGGATTTAGCACAGAGCTGGGAATGGTCAGGATGGAGAGCTGGGAATGGTCAGGATTTAGCACAGAGCTGGGAATGGTCAGGATGGAGAGCTGGGAATGGTCAGGATGGGGAACAGAGCTGGCAATGGTCAGGATTTAGCACAGAGCTGGGAATGGTCAGGATGGAGAGCTGGGAATGGTCAGGATGGAGAACTGGGAATGGTCAGGATGGAGCAGGGCCTGCAGTACCCACACCCTTCCCCGTGCCTATGCCCCAGATCTGATGCCCGAGAACGTGGTGGAGGAGAAGATCAAGGAGCTGGATCTGAACATGGTCATGGCCGAGATCCGCAGGGAGGGGCGGCCCGGGGTGCAGTGGAGGTGAGGAGGGGGGACCCAGAGCCTGGGGAGCCCCCCAGAGCCTTGAGACCCCCCCAGAGCCCCAGAGCCTGGAGACCCCCCCAGAACCTGGAGACCCTGAGCTCTGAGATCCCCCTGAGCGCTGAGACCCCCCCCAACCCTGGAGTCCCCAGATCCTGGAAACCCCCAAGCCTGGAGACCCCCCAGCTTTGAGACCCCCCCCAGAGCTTGGAGACCCCCCCAGTCTGGAGACCCCAGCCCAGAGACCCCCCCCAGAGCCTGGAGACCCCCCCTGCCATGGGCAGCAGCCCCCTGGACCCCCCTGGACCTGCCCTGACCCTCCTGGACCCCTCCGCACCCCCCTGATCCCCTGACTCCCCATACCTGTTCCCTGCCCAGGTACTCTGAGGTGTCCTTCCTGGAGCTGGACAAGTTCTTGGAAGACGTCAGGTGGGTGTGAGAGCCCCCCCCCGGCTGTGGGGCTGGGATGGGGACATGGGGGTGTCCCTGCTGCCCCCTGGTGTCCCCAGCCCTGCCAGGGGATGTCATCCTCCCCGTGTCCCCTCCGTGTCTCCCCAGGAACGGGATTTACCCCCTGATGAACTTCGCCGCCTCCCGGCCCCACGCGCTGCCCCGAGCCCTGTCCCAGCCCCCGGAGGACCCACAGAAAGCCAAAACCCCCACGCCAGAGCCCTTCGACGTGGAGACCAGGAAGGTGAGAAAAAGGAAAAAGGAAAGGGAAAGGAAAAGGAAAAGGAAAAGGGAAAGGGAAAGGGAAAGGGAAAGGAAAAGGAAAAGGGAAAGGAAAAGGAAAGGAGGAAAGGGGAAAATGGAAAAAGGAAAGCGAAAAGGAAAGGAAAAAGGAAACAGAAAAGGAAAAAGGAAACAGGAAAGGAAAAAGGAAAGGAAAAGGAATGATAATAAAATCTTGTGACTGACCAGAGTCCAAGCCAGCTGACTGTGATTGGCCATTAATCAGAAACGACCCCATGAGACCAATCACAGATGCACCTGTTGCATTCCACAGCAGCAGATAACCATTGTTTGCATTTTGTTCCAGAGGCCTCTCAGCTTCTCAGGAGGAAAAATCCTAAGGAAAGGATTTTCAATAAAACACAAAGGATTTTTCATAAAACACGTCTGTGACAGTGAGGGAGCTCCAGGGCAGCTGCAGGTGGGGACAGGCCTGCCCTGCTGCCACCCCTGCCACAGGGACACCTCTCCTGTCAGCCCAGGGAGAGCTGGGACAGGAATTTGGGGTTCCTGTAGGAATTTGGGGTTCCTGTAGGAATTCCAAAAGGCTGCCCACAGGCAGAGAGAGCCAGGACAGGAATTTGGGGTTGCTGTAGGAATTTGGGGCTCCTGTAGGAATTCCAGAGGGCTGCCAGGGGCACAGGGGCCGTGCCCAGGCTGATCCCAGCTGGGCTCTTGCAGGTGGTGCAGATGCAGTGCAACATGGAGCTGAACGAGGACAAGAGCCAGTGGCACGTGAGTGACTGCTCATCCCACTGGGAATGGGGTTGGGAATGGGAATGGGAAATGGCACTGGAAAATCTGCCAGTGGCACGTGAGTGCCTGGGTCCTGCCCTGATCCCTGCTCATCCTGCTGGGAATGGGACTGGGAATGGGAAATGGGAATAGAAATGGGATTGGGAGTGGGAAATGGGACAGGGAAATCTGCCAGTGGCACATGAGTGCCTGGGTCCTGCTCATCCTACTGGGAACGGGAAAATGGGATTGGGAAATGGGACTGGGAATGGGAAATGGGATTGGGAATGGGACTGGGAATGGGAAATGGGATTGGGAATGGGACTGGGAATCTGCCAGTGGCAAGTGAGTGACTGGGTCCTGCCCTGATCCCTGCTCATCCTGCTGGGAATGGGGCTGGGAATGGGAAATGGGGAATGGGAATGGGAAATGGGATTGGGAATGGCCCTGGGAAATGGGAAAGGGAATGGGAAATGGGGCTGGAAATGGGAAATCTGCCAGTGGCACGTGAGTGTCTGGGTCTTGCTCATCCCACTGGGAATGGGAAATGGGATTGGGAAATGGGAATGGGACTGGGGATGGGGAATGGGAAATGGGATTAGGAAATGGGAATGGGAAATGGGAAAGGGAATGGGACAGGGAAATCTGCCAGTGGCACATGAGTGCCAGGGTCCTGCCCATCCCCCTGGGAATGGGAAATGGGAATGGAACTGGGGATGGGAATGGGAAATGGGACTGAGAAATGGCACTGGGAATGGAAATGGCACTGGGAATTGGAAATGACACTGGGAATGGGAAATGGGACTGGGGAATCTGCCAGTGGCACGTGAATGGCTGGATCCTGCCCCTCTCCCTGCTCATCCTGCTGGTAATGGGACTGGGAATGGGAAATGGGACTGGGAAATGGGAAGTGGGAATTTGGACTGGGAATGGAACTGGGAATGGGAAATAGGACTAGGAATGGGAAATGAGGCTGGGAATGGGAAATGGGAAAGGGAATGGGGCTGGGAATGGGAAATGGGACTGGCAATAGGAAATGGGACTGGGAATTGGGAATGGGACTGGCTGGGGAAGTCCTCAGCCAGTTTCTGTGGTACCCAAAGAGCTCACTGCTGTCCTGTGCAATGAAAGAATTCCCAAAGAAGCCACAAATTCCCCCAGAGCTCTCAGTTCCCCCAGACCTCCCATTCCAGCAGTGCCCAGCTGTCCCAGTTCCTGCCCACCCTCCCAGTTCATGCCCAGCCCTCCCAGTGCCCCCAGTCCCTCAGGGCTGCCTGAGCACTCTCTGGTGTCCCTGCAGCTCACGCTCCTGCTGATCCTGGAGGACAAGCTGCACCGCCAGCTCAGCTACGACCTGCTGCCCAGTACGTGTGCAGGGAGGGCGGGTGGGCACCCTCCTCTGGGGGGCTGGGGGAGCCCCTGGTGGGCATGGAACGTGCCAGCTTCCAGACAGCTTCCTTCCCTTTCCTTTCCTTTTTCCTTTTTCCTTTTTCCTTTTTCCTTTCCTGGAACTTTCCTTTCCTCAGAGAGCTGGGGAGTGGAGCCTGGGAGCTGCTCCTGCCCCAGGCTCTGTCCTGCTCAGCCACACCAAGCCTTTCCCTATGGCACATTGTCTGGAGCTGTGTTTTGGGACCTTGCTCCCCATTTCCTGGTGCCACATTGTCCAAATCTGTGTCTTGGAGCTCTCAGGAGCCTCGTTCCCCCTCCCTGCCCCATTTCCAGCTCTCCCTGGTTCGGGAGCTCCCCGAGCTGAATCCATGCTCCTGTTCTCCTGTTCTCCTGTTCTCCTGTTCTCCTTGTCTCTGCAGCTGACAACTCCAAGGATTTGGCCACAGAGCTGGTGCATTACGGGTTCATCCACGAGGTGAGTTCCCCAGAGCTCCTGCAGCCCCTCAGGATTTCTGGGATTTCTGGGATCTCTGCTCCAGGAGCTGTTCCAGGGGGAGCTGCCCGCTGTGGCACGAGCTAATTAGCTGGAGCTTAAATAATTCTGAGTGGGAGCACCAGGCCAGCTCCCAGGGGAGGGAGACTGATTCCTCACTTGAGGAATCTCAGAACCATCCATTTGGGAAAAGACCTCCAAGATTAACGAGTCCATCCCCTCCCCAACTCCCTCAGCCCCTCCTGGGGCTCCAATCCCAGCATGTGAATTGTTTTTAATTAATGGCTGTGGTGGTGTTCACAGGGGTCCCAGGATGAGGGAAGAGATGAGAATCTTGGCTCCATGTTTCAGAGGGCTGATCTATTATTTTATGATATTATATTGGGAGCTGGCTGATTTATTAAGATATTATATTATATTATATTATATTATATTATATTATATTATATTATATTATTACACTAAAACTATACTAAAGAAAGAGAAAGGAGACATCAGAAGTCTAGAAAATAATGAATAATGAAATGTTGTGGCTGCTCACAGCCTTGACACAACTGGCTGCCATTGGCCATTTGTAGTTATGGTATTTTATGAAAAATCCCTTTGCCAGGATTTTTCTCTGGAGAAGCTGAGAGGCCTCAGGAACAAAATGTAAACATTGGTTATCTGCTGCTGTGGAATGCAACAGGTGCATCTGTGATTGGTCTCATGTGGTTGTTTCTAATTAATGGCCAATCACAGTCAGCTGGCTTGGATTGTCTGGTCAGTCACAAGATTTTATCATCATTCCATTCCTTTGCCTTGCAAGACTTCTGATTAAATCCTTTCTTCTATTCTTTTAGTATAGCTTTAATATATAATTTTCTTTTAATAGAATATATAGCATAAAATAATATATCATAAAATATTATATATAGATTAAAATAATATAAAATATATAATAAAATAATAAATCAGCCTTCTGAAACATGGAATCAGATCTTTGTCTCTTCCCTTGTCCTGGGACCCCTGTGAACACGGTCACAGCCATTAATTAAAAACAATTCACATGCTGGGTAAACAATTCTCCCAATCACATCCCAAAGCAGCAAAACACGGAGAAGCTGAAGCTTCCCAGCTTCTCAGGAGAAAAGATCCTCCTGGCCAAAGGGTGTGACGGTGATCACAGGGGTCCCAGGATGAGGGAAGAGATGAGGATCTGACTCCATGTTTCAGAAGGCTAATTTGTTATTTTATTATATATTATTTTTAATACATATTTTTGTCATATTCTACAATGTATTATTTTATGGTATATATTATATTAAAATAAAATTATGTATTAAAACTGTACTAAAGAATAGAAGAAAAGGATTTCATCAGAAGGCTAGCAAGGAATTGAAAGGAAAAGTGAAGAATTATTATTATTATTATTATTATTATTGTTATTATTATTATTATTATTAATAATAATAATAATAATAATAATATAATAATAATAATGATGATGATGAATAAATGAATAAATGAATAATAATAAATAAATGACCAGCGAGTCCGAGCCAGCTGACTGTGATTGGCCATTAATTAGATACAACCACATGAGACCAATCCCAGATGCACCTGTTGCATTCCACAGCAGCAGATAACCATGGTTTACATTTTGTTCCTGAGGCCTTTCAGCTTCTCAGGAGGAAAAATCCTAAGGAAAGGATTTTCCATAAAAGACATCTGTGACCAAAGGGTTTTCAGCCCATTTCTCTGTGACTAAAGGGATTTTCAGCCCATGTTTCTGTGACCAAAGGGTTTTCAGCCCATTTCTCTGTGACTAATGGGATTTTCAGCCCATGTTTCTGTGACCAAAGGGTTTTCAGCCCATTTTTCTGTGACCAAAGGGGATTTTCAGCCCATGTTTCTGTGACCAAAGGGTTTTCAGCCCATTTTTCTGTGACCAAAGGGTTTTTCAGCCCATTTCTCTGTGACCAAAGGGTTTCCAGCCCATTTCTCTGTGCTTGCAGGACGACTGTGAGAAGCTGGCCGCGTTCCTGGAGAGCGCCTTCCACAAGCACCGCTCCCAAGCCCTGTGAGCCCAGCCCAGGGGACTGAGGCACCCCGGGAGGACCCCAAAGGGCTCCCCGGCCCCAGCCAGCCCAGCAGGACCCACCGGGCCCACGGGACTCGGCCAGGCCGTGCTCAGGGCTCGGCCAAGCCCAGGAGTTCATCCTGGGCCCTGCTCCGGTCCCTGCTCCGAGGGGAGCGCCCTCGACAGGGCCTTGCCCGGGGGTTTGGGAGCTGCTGCAGGAGCCCCCAGCCGGATCCACGTCCCTCTGGGGAGGACCAGCCCCTCTCCTGCAGCTCCCACAGCTGATTCCTGCCCCTTTGCCATCTGGAGCGCTCCTTGCTGAGGGAAGGGAGGGGAGGAGCAGGCTCGGAGAGCCCCGTGGAGATTCCCATGTGCCACATTCCGCTCTGGAGCCCGGAATTCTCCAGGTCTGGGGTCTGCAGGGTGCTGCCTGTGCTCAGAGCCCTCCCCGTGAGCTGGACGTGAGAAGGAATCCCTGACCCACCACCAGGAATGTCACTGATGCTCCACAGAACCCTTGGCATGGCCCAGCTCCCCCTGCAGCCTTCCACAATCTCTCAGAGAGAGCCCTGGAGCCGTTCCTGCCCGGCCTGGAGATGGGGCACTGCCCCTGGCACCGCCCCAGGGCTGCCCTTTGCCAGGGACACACAGGGAGAGAACTGCAGACAGAAATGTCCCTGTGCAAGGGCCGTGTGGGACTGCTCCAGCTGTGCCAGGGAGAGCTGGCCCTGAAATCCTGCTCTGAAATCCTGCTGTGCCAGTGCTGCTCCTGCTGCTCCTGCTGTGCCAGGCAGAGCTGGCCCTGAAATCCTGCTGCTGCTGTGCCAGGAAAGCTGCTTTGAAATCCTGCACTGTGCTGGTGCTGCTCCTGCTGTGCCATAGGAAACTGGCTCTGAAATCCTGCTCTGAGCTGTGCCAGTGCTGCTCCTGCTGTGCCAGAGAGAGCTGGCCCTGAAATCCTGCTCTGTGCTGTGCTGCTGTGCCAGGAAAGCTGCTCTGAAATCCTGCTCTGTGCTGTGCTGCTGTGCCAGGAAAGCTGCTCTGAAATCCTGCTCTGTGCTGGTGCTGCTGTGCCAGGAAAGCTGCTCTGAAATCCTGCTCTGTGCTGTGCTGCTGAGCCAGGGAAAACGTGCTCTCAAATCCTGCTCTGTGCTGTGCCAATGCTGCTCCTGCTGCTGCAGGGAAAGCTGCTCTGAAATCCTGCCCTGTGCTGGTGCTGCTGCTGCTGTGCCAGGGAAAACCACCTCTGGCATCTATGCTGGTGCTGCTCCTGCTGTGCCATCAGAAACAGGCTCTGGAATCCTGCTCTGTGCTGTGCCAGTGTTGCTCCTGCTGTGCCATAGGAAACTGGCTCTGACACCCTGGTCTGCGCTGTTCTGTGCCAGGGTTTGTGCCAGTGCTGCTCCTACCAGGGAAATCTGCCCCTGGTACCCTGCTCTGTTCTGTGCTGGTGCTGCTCCTGCTGCTCCTGCTGTGCTGGGAATATCCAGCTCTGGCGCTGTCCTGGTGATCTGCACCATGCTGGTGTTCCATGCCAGTGCTGCTCCTGCTGCTCCTGCTGTGCCAGGGAAATCTGCCCTTGGCATCCTGCTCTGTGCTGCCCTGTGCCAGTGCTGCTCCTGCTCTGCCAGAGGAATCCAGCTCTGGCATCCTGTGCTGTGCCAGTGCTCTGTGCTGCTCCTGCTGTGCAGGGGAAACTGCCCCTGGCACCCTGCTGGTGTTCTGTGCCAGTGCTGCTCCTGCTGTGCCAATGGAATCCGGCTCTGGCATCCTGTGCTGTGCCGGTGCTCTGTGCTGCCCCTGCTCTGCCAGGGAAATCTGCCCCTGGCACCCTGTGCTGTGCCAGTGCTCTGTGCTGCCCCTGCTCTGCCAGGGAAAGCTGCCCCTGGCACCCTGTGCTGTGCCAGTGTTGCTCCTGCTGTGCCAGGGAAATCTGCCCCTGGCAGCCTGCTCTGTGCTGTGCTGTGTCAGTGCTCTGTGCTGCCCATACTGTGCCAGGGAAATCTGCCCCTGGCACCCTGTGCTGTGCTGGTGCTGCTCCTGCTCTGCCAGAAAAGTCCGGCCCTGGCGTCCCATGCTGTGCCAGTGCTCTGTGATGCTCCTGTTTTGCCAAAGGAATCCACCTCTGGCCTCCTGCTTTGTGCTGGTGCTGCTCCTGCTGTGCCAGAGGAATCCAGCTGTGGCATCCTGTGCTGTGCCAGTGCTCTGTGCTGTCCTGGTGATCTGCACCACGCTGGTGTTCCATGCCAGTGCTCTGTGCTGGTGCTGCTGCTGTGCCAGGGAAATCTGTCCCTGGCACTCTGCTCTGCGCTGCTCCGTGCCGGTGCTGCTCCTGCTGTGCCAGGGAAAGCTGCTCTGAAATCCTGCTCTGTGCTGTGCCAGTGCTGCTGCTGCTGCTCCCCTGTGCCATGGGAAGCTGCCCCTGGCCTCCTGCTCCCCGCAGGAGCTCCATGTGCCACCACCTGCCCTGCGCTGCTCCTGCTCCAGCTGCATCCCACCGGGATTTCACCCACGCTCAGCCAGCTTGGGATGCACTCCTGGACTGGGCTGCACTCCTGGCTCGGGCTGCAGCCCCAGCAGTGCTGCATTCCCAGCAGTGCTGTATTCCCAGCAGTGCTGCATCCCCAGCAGTGCTGTATCCCCAGCCCTGCTCCATTCCCAGCAGTGCTGCATGCCCAGCAGTGCTGCATCCCCAGCAGTGCTGCATTCCCAGCAGTGCTCCATCCCCAGCAGTGCTGCATTCCCAGCAGTGCTGCATCCCCAGCAGTGCTGCATCCCCAGCAGTGCTCCATCCCCAGCAGTGCTGCATCCCCAGCAGTGCTGCATCCCCAGCAGTGCTGCATCCCCAGCAGGGCTGCATCCCCAGCAGGGCTGCATCCCCAGCAGTGCTGCATTCCCAGCCCTGCTCCATTCCCAGCAGTGCTGCATCCCCAGCAGTGCTGCATCCCCAGCAGTGCTGCATTCCCAGCCCTGCTCCATTCCCAGCAGTGCTCCATCCCCAGCCCTGCTCCATTCCCAGCAGTGCTGCATTCCCAGCAGTGCTCCATCCCCAGCAGTGCTGCATCCCCAGCAGTGCTGCATTCCCAGCAGTGCTGCATTCCCAGCAGGGCTGCATTCCCAGCAGTGCTGCATCCCCAGCAGTGCTGCATTCCCAGCAGTGCTGCATCCCCAGCAGTGCTCCATTCCCAGCCCTGCTCCATCCCCAGCAGTGCTGCATTCCCAGCCCTGCTCCATCCCCAGCAGTGCTCCATCCCCAGCAGTGCTGCATTCCCAGCCCTGCTCCATCCCCAGCAGTGCTGCATTCCCAGCAGTGCTGCAGCAGTGCTCCATCCCGAGCAGTGCCAATGTCCCACCTGACAAATCAATAAACCCATCCCCACAAATCAATAAACCATTCTCACTGTTCCAGCCTGCTTGTGATTCCTGACTCCCAAGGGGAGGGATGCAGGGACCCCTCACAGCGGCCCATTCCCATTCCCCCTGAGGGCTCTGCTCCAGCCTGCTCCTGATTCCCACTCCCAGGAAACCAAAGGGAGGGATGCAGGGACTCCTCCAGTTGCCCATTCCCCCTGGGGTCTCTGTTCCATCCTGCTCCTGATTCCCACTCCCAGGAAACCAAAGGGAGGGATGCAGGGACTCCTCCAGTTGCCCATTCCCCCTGGGGTCTCTGTTCCATCCTGCTCCTGATTCCCACTCCCAGGAAACCAAAGGGAGGGATGCAGGGACTCCTCCAGTTGCCCATTCCCCCTGGAGGGCTCTGCTTGTGATTCCTGGCTCCCAAAGGGGTGGGATGCAGGGACACCTCACAGCTGCCCATTCCCATTCCCACTGAGGGCTCTGTTCCATCCTGCTCCTGATTCCCAACTCCCAAAGAGGAGGGATGCAGGGAACCTCCAGCTGCCCATTTCCAGTCCCTCCAGAGCAGCCCTCCTGGGCCCCTGACATTCCAGAACATTCCAGACCCTCCTGGGCCCCTCCTGGCACAGCCGTCCCCTGAATCCATGGGTTTAACAGGGTCCAACTCAGCCCTAAATCTATGGATGTAACGGGGTCCAACTCAGCCCTAAATCCATGGATTTCATGGGGTCCAACTCAGCCCTAAATCCATGGATGTAACGGGATCCAACTCAGCCCTAAATCCATGGATTTCATGGGGTCCAACTCAGCCCTAAATCCATGGATGTAACGGGATCCAACACAGCCCTAAATCCATGGATGTAACGGGGTCCAACACAGCCCTAAATCCATGGATGTAACGGGGTCCAACTCAGCCCTAAATCCATGGATTTCATGGGGTCCAACTCAGCCCTAAATCCATGGATGTAACGGGGTCCAACACAGCCCTAAATCCATGGATTTCATGTGGTCCAACACAGCCTTAAATCCATGGATTTCATGTGGTCCAACTCAGCCCTAAATCCATGGATGTAACGGGGTCCAACTCAGCCCTAAATCCATGGATTTCATGGAGTCCAACACAGCCCTAAATCCATGGATGTAACGGGGTCCAACACAGCCCTAAATCCATGGATTTCAGGGGTCCCAGGTTGCTCCCATCCTGCTCTTGACACTGCCAGGAACAATTCCCACTTCCCACAATCCCATTTATTCCTGGGTCCTGTTCCTCCCCTCCCCAGCTCTCCTGGAGCCCCTGGAATGGCTCTGAGGTGTCTCTGGATTGTTCTGGAACATTCTGCTCCCCACATGAACATTCCCAGCTCCATTCCCTGTGCCCTTGGCCCTGCGCTGGAATTCAGGCACCAGGGGCAGAGCCAAGGTGTGAAAAACGTTATTGACTTTTTATTAAAATTTTAGAGGTTTAATAGTAATGAAAATAGTGATAAATATTAGAATAATAAGAGATAAAAATTATAATAAATAAATAAATAAAAATATAAATATAATAATGGAAAATATATACTATATAAATATAAATAAATAAAAATATAAAGTTAAATAAATATAAATATTAACAAATAAATAAACTCAAATAAATAAAAATAAAAATAAAGAAAAATAAAGAAAAAAATACAATTAAAATAAATAAAATAAATAAAATAACAAATAAACAATGAATAAGAAAAAATCAATAAATATAAACAAAAATAATAAAATTAAATAAATATAATAAAAATAAATAAAAATAAATAAAATTAAAATAAAATAAAAATAAATAAGACAAAAATGAATAAATAAATAAAAATAAAAAATAAAATAAATAAAAATAAAAAAAATTAATTTAAAAGGTAAAAAATAAAGTTAAGTAAAATAAATACAATAAAATGACAGTAAATAAATAAAAAATAAATAAAATAAACAATAAATAAGATTAAAAAATAAATACAAATAAAAAGTGAAGAATTGTGGAATTTGGGTGCCTGGCACTCTGCCACAAGGCACACCTTTCCAACAGAGGATTAACCCTTAAAAGCAGGAGCCTGTTGCATATTCATAGATCTCATACATTATTCATTGACTGTTTCTGTTTAATTTTAGCTCACCCCCCTCTTGTAACTCAATTTCCTTGGCTCCTCAAACTCTGGGTTTCCCCAATAAGGAGGCAATAACTCTTCTCTTGGGATCTTGGTGTCTATTATTTCTATATTTCTATTTCTGTGCTGTTATTCCTATCCAGATAGAATAATGAGAAGAATTTCTTTATTATCTTTTCCATTCCTTGGGCTAGTTACAAAAAGTATCTTACACCACAGAGTTTCTATTTTATTATTATGCTACAGCCTAAAAACGACATTTACCACACTACTTAAAAGAGATTAATACAGCACTAATTAAAAGAGATAAATACAACATAACTTTCCAACACAACACATATTGCATTCATTTCAATATTTGTGTGAAAAACACCAATCACTTGGTTTTTAAAATTTTAAAAGTTTAAGAGTAATAAAGTGGTTATAAAAATAGCAATATAATTAGAGTAATAAAAATTTGGACAATTAAGATTAGGACAATACTATCTGGCTGCTATCTGGTGTGAGTCCTCTCTTTTAAAAAAGTATATTACAGAGCATAGTTTCTATTTTAACATTATGTTATAACCTAAAACTATATATAACACACTACTTAAAAAATTTAATACAGCATAACTTTCTAACATAATTGTGAAAAATGCCAATCACTTGTTTTTAGAATTTCAAAAGTTTAATAGAAATAAAATGGTTATAAAATAGCAATATAACTAGAGAAATAATAATTTGGACAATTGGGATTTAGGACAATATGAGACAATAAAGACAAAGAGTTACAGACAGTCCAGGTACCTTTTCTGGGCAAAATAAGCCCAAAAAAGGACCGACGTTAACAGAGGATTAACCCTTAAAAGCAACAGCCTGTTGCATATTCATACTCCTCATCCATGATGCATAAATTCCATTCAAACACAGGATTCTGTGTGGGCAGTGTCAGCTGCTTCCTCTGAATCCTGACGGCTCTTCAGGGCTGAGCGAGGTGGGAAGAAGTTCATCTCTTCTGATAAAGGAGCAATAAATTCTTTTGCTCTGAAAGATTTAGGTGTCCTGTGGCTGCTATCTGGTGCGAGTCCTTTCTTTAAATAATTATCTTACATAGCATAGTTTCTATTTTAGCATTCTTTTATAACCTAAAACTACATTTAACACACTACTTAAGAGAACTAACACAGGATAACTTTCTAACATAACACATATAATAATAATTTTAATATTTTCGAAAAGTCAATCATAAAACACGCATTTTTCACACCTGCAATTTATAATTTATTAATCCGGTCCGCCCCCGTGACCCACCTGGCACCTCCCAGTGCCCACAAACCGGTACCGGGGGGGTTCCGCGGCTCCTCACCCCGGCTGCGACTAAAGGCCGCCCGGTGTCAGTCGGATTTAGCACGTTTTATCCCGTTTTAGCTAGGTTTACCCGGGTTTAACGCATTTTAGCTCGTTTGAGCCCGTTTTACTCGGGGCCCGGCCAGCCACAGCCCTGCCCGCGGCACCGGCAGCTTTGGACCGTCCCGAGGCACCGGGCACTGCCAGGCCACCACCGATCCAGCGGCGCTGAGGCCGCAGCAGCCGCGCTGGAGCCACGTTCCCCTGGAATTACACCATATTTTATTTTGTTTTATTTTGTCTCGTCTCGTCTCCCCTCTCCGGCAGCGGCTGGGCGGCGCCATATTGGCAGCCGCTGGGGTCACATGACACCCCCCCAGCTCTCGCGAGACTTCTCCTCGCGAGGGCCTCCAGCGCCGTTTCCCGCGCGCGCGCGCCCCGCGGAGCTCTCGCGAGAGCCGCGTGCTGCAGACGGGAAGGACAAGATGGCGGCGACAACGACGATGGCGCTGGTGAGGGGGCGGCGGGACCGGGACCGAGCCGGGCTGGGCTGGGCCGGGCCGGGCTGGGATGAGATGAGTCGGGCCGGCTCCTCGGGGCGGGATACAGCGCGGCCGCCGGGCGGATCCGCCCGGGCCGGGCCTTCTCCGGTCCCGCGGCTATGAGGGGTCGGCGCCGCTTCCCGTCTCTTGTGGCCTCCCGTGGCGGCCTTCTCCGTGTGGGGAAGGTGTCGGTGTCCCCCCGCGCCGTCCTGAGCTGCCGCCCCGCCGTGGCTGTCCCAGCATTGAGGGGAGCGGGCTCGGCCGTCGCGTGCTGGGTGCCGTGCAGGCAGGCCGCGGTTCTGGGCTGCTGCTGCCAAATGCATCGCTTTAAACGCTTCTTTGGGTTCCTATTTCCAAATGCATCGCTTTAAACGCTTCTTTGGGCTCTCAAATCCATCGCTTTAAACGCTTCTTTGGGTTCCCAAATCCATCGCTTTAAACGCTTCTTTGGGCTCCCGTTCCCAAATCCATCGCTTTAAACGCTTCCTTGGGCTCCCAAATGCAGCGCTTTAAACGCTTCTTTGGGCTCCCAAATGCATAATTTTAAACGCTTCTTTGGGTTCCTGTTCCCAGATCCATCGCTTTAAACGCTGCTCTTTGGGCTCCCGTTCCCAAATTCTCCCCTTTAAATGCTCGGTGTTGTGATAGGCTTCCCAAATCTTAAATGCTGCTTTTGGGCTCCCGTTCCCAAATTCACCTGTTTAAATGCACGGTGTGTGGCTGGGTTTCCCAAATCTACCTGTTTAAATGCTGGTTTTGGGCCCCCATTGCCAAATCTACTTCTTTAAACGCTTTTCTTTGGGCCCTCATTCGCAAATTCCTCTGTTTAAATGCATGGTGTTGAGTTGGGTTTCCCAAATCCACTTGTTTAAGTGCTGGTTCTGGACTCCTATTCCCAGATTCACCTGTGCTAGGTGCTGTGCCAAGTTTCCCAAATCTGCTTGTTTAAATTGTGGTTTTGGGTCCCCATTCCCAAATCCACCTGGATAAAACCGGAACTCCCTGATTTCATGGGAGTCTTTGTGAGTTCTGGGGCATTTCTTGCTCTTTGATGGGTGGCTGCAGGTGTGAGAGAGCAGGAATTTGAGGGGGGCTGTTGGTTTTTGTGAAAAACGCCAGTCACTTGTTCTTAAACTTTTAAAAGTTTAATACAAACAAAATGGTTATAAAAATAGTGTGGAAAACGCCAATCACTTGCTTTTAGGTTTTTAAACGTTTAATAGTAATAAAATGGTTATAAAAATAGTAATATAATTAGAGTAATAAAAAATTGGACAATTGGAATTTAGGACAATACGAGACAATGAAAACAAAGAGTTGTGGACACTCAGGGTACCTTGGTGTGCTGTGGGGCACAGCAGGGCCAGGGCATGTGTGTGGGATTCTCAGGGATTCCAGGATGGCCCTTGGTGTGCTGTGTGGGATTGTCAGGGAATGCAGGATCCTGGCCCTTGGTGTGCTGTGTGGGATTGTCAGGGAATGCAGGATCCTGGCCCTTGGTGTGCTGTGTGGGATTGTCAGGGAATGCAGGATGGCCCTTGGTGTGCTGTGTGGGATTGTCAGGGAATGCAGGATGGCCCTTGGTGTGCTGTGTGGGATTGTCAGGAAATGCAGGATGGCCCTTGGTGTGCTTTGTGGGATTGTCAGGGAATGCAGGATGGATCCTTGGTGTGCTTTGTGGGATTGTCAGGGAATGCAGGATGGCCTTGGTGTGCTGTGTGGGATTCTCAGGGAATGCAGGATCCTGTCCCTTGATGTGCTGTGTGGGCAGGTGGAGATGGCATTTGGGGACATGGTCACTGCTGGCCTGGGCAGTGCTGGGGACAGTTGGGCTCGGTGGGCTGTGAGGGCTTTTCCAGTCTCAACAATTCCATGATTCCACACCACTTGGTCTGGTTTTCAGCTTGGCTGTGGCTCTGTGCACTGCAGTTTGCAGCTCCAGCCACCTCTGCTCCTGTGTCCCTGTTGGTGCCCTGGTGTTGCCATCGTCCTTGTGTTCCTGGTGTCCCACTCCAGCCATGGGGAGCACCTGCAGCTCTGGGTGCTGTCCAGACACCTAGAGAGCTGGATTTTGTCCTGGGAGGGTTTGTTTTCTGCTCCATGTTCACAAACCTGGAGGCTGCACAAAACCAGGAGTCTCATTCTTGCTGCAAAATAGGAGTCAGAATATTGGGGATATATCCTGGAATCCTGGAATGGCTGGGCTGGGAAGGGAAGCTGTGGCTGCCTCATCCCTGGCAGTGTCCACAGCCAGGTTGGAGCAGCCTGGGATAGTGGAAGGGGTCCCTGCCATGGCAGGGGTAGAATGGGATGAGCTTTAGAGTCCCTCCAGCCCAAACAATTCCGTTATTCAGGGCAATCCAGGAGAAGCTTTGATTTTGGTCTTGGCTCGATCCTTTTACTAAGGCAAAGACTTCCCACAGGAACATGTCCAGGACCACAGGCTGGGGTTGTCCCCGCTGGTTTTTGGGTGGTTGGTGGGAAATGTGGAGCAGAGAGAAGGAACCAGCTCTGTTTTGGTGGATGGTGCCACCAGAACCCCTGTGAGCACCAAAGGCAGGGCCAGGTCCTGCTGCGGGGGCTGAGCTGGGGGTGCCAGCACTGGATCAGGCTGGGATTGGGGTCCCAGCGCTGGATCAGGCTGGGATTGGGGTCCCAGCAGGGGCAGCACCGGGCTGCTGGATTTCTGGAGTCACTCATGGTTCCAGGAGTGGGATCATTATCCTGGAGTCAGTCATGGTCCCAGCAGTGCGTTCACCAAGCTGGATCCGTGGTTCCAGCAGTGGGATTGCTGTTCTGTAGTCAGTCATGGTTCCAGCCAGTGGGATTGTTGTGCTGGAGTCAGTCATGGTCCCAGCAGTGGGATCACCAAGCTGGATCCGTGGTTCCAGCAGTGGGATTGCTGTGCTGGAGTCAGTCATGGTTCCAGCAGTGGGATCCATGGTCCCAGCAGTGCATTCACCAAGCTGGATCCATGGTCCCAGCAGTGGGATTGCTGTGCTGGAGTCAGTCATGGTTCCAGCAGTAGGATCACCAAGCTGGATCCATGGTCCCAGCCAGTGGGATTGCTGTTCTGTAGTCAGTCATGGTCCCAGCAGTGGGATCACCAAGCTGGATCCATGGTCCCAGCCAGTGGGATTGCTGTTCTGTAGTCAGTCATGGTTCCAGCCAGTGGGATTGTTGTGCTGGAGTCAGTCATGGTCCCAGCAGTGGGATCACCAAGCTGGATCCGTGGTTCCAGCAGTGGGATTGCTGTGCTGGAGTCAGTCATGGTTCCAGCAGTGGGATCCATGGTCCCAGCAGTGCATTCACCAAGCTGGATCCATGGTCCCAGCAGTGGGATTGCTGTTCTGTAGTCAGTCATGGTCCCAGCAGTGGGATCCATGGTCTGAGCAGTAGGATCACCATGCTGGAGTTGTGGTCCCAGCTGTGGGATCCATGGTCCCAGCAGTGGGATTGCTGTTCTATAGTCAGTCATGGTTCCAGCAGTGCATTCACCAAACTGGATCCATGGTCTCAGCAGTGGGATTGCTGTGCTGGAGTCAGTCATGGTTCCAGCAGTAGGATCACCAAGCTGGATCCGTGGTTCCAGCAGTGGGATTGCTGTTCTGTAGTCAGTCATGGTCCCAGCAGTGGGATCCATGGTCTGAGCAGTAGGATCACCATGCTGGAGTTGTGGTCCCAGCAGTGGGATTGCTGTGCTGCAATCCTAGCTCCAGAGAGCTAGAGAGGGACTTTAGACAAGGGCTTGGATTGGTAGGACAGAGGGGAATGGCTTCCCACTGCCAGAGAGCAGGCTCATTTGGGGTATTGGGAATAAATCCTTCCCTGTGAGGGTGGTGAGGCCCTGGCAGTGGTTGCCAGAGAAGCTGTGGCTGCCCCATCCCTGGAAGTGTTCCAGGCCAGGTTGGACAGGCTTGGAGCAGCCTGGGATGGTGGAAGGTGTCCCTGCCGTGGCAGGGGGTGGGACTGTGTGAGCTTTAGAGTCCCTCCAAAGCATTCCATGATTCTGTGATTTGGGAAGGTTTCAGAGAAGGTTTTAAACTGAGAACTTGAGAAAGCTGGGTCAGCTGGGAGGGAGAGGGGAGGAGAGCATTGATGGGGAACACTAGACAGTGGGTCTGTTGAGGGGGATGGAGATGGTGTGAGCAAGGACTGGGGATTATCTGATGGTCAGTTCACAGCAAACCTGGCTGGAGAACTCTAAGTGTCCAGCAATCTCTTGGCTTGGACAGTTGCTGGGATGGCTCTTCCCACAGGGAATGGTGGGAGTATGAACTGGTTTTCCTGACATACAGCTGGCTTTGGGAAGGGTTCTTAGCCAGCTCTCATGTTCTGACATGAAGCTTTGGTTTTCTTGGAGGGAAGACAGGTCACTCCTGTGAGAGCAGATTTCCCTGAGAATCTCCTGTTTCCTCAGGGCACGGAGTCCATTAAGATGGAGAACGGGCAAAGCACGGCAGCCAAGCTGGGGCTGCCCCCTCTCACCCCAGAGCAGCAGGAAGCTCTCCAGAAAGTGAGTAAAACTGGTGGGAGTTTGCTCTTTGGGGATGGGGGTGTGCTTTAGTGAGCCTCTGGCACTGGTGGGGCCAGAGGGAACTCACCACCGGGTCTGTGGGGTCGTGGCCGTGCTGGAGGGTCCCACAGTCACATTTGGGGCCAGGAACTGCTTGGTTTGGTTTGGAGTTCATGGACACCTCTGGGAGCATGATGGGAATTGCTGCTGGGGTGGGTGAGAGTGGGTTTCATTTAAAAAGTCAGTCAGTTCAGAAAAATGGCATCCTGAGTCAGATGGGAATTCTGAGCTGGGGTGTGGGTGCCACTGAGGAGCTCCAGGAGGGCTGAAATTGGGATCAGCTGCGCCTGGCCTGTCGGTGACCGGGGCACAGAGCTGTGTCCCCTGTCCTCGGGGTGGCAGGGACACAGAGCCATGTCCCCCATCCTCGGGGTGGCAGGGGCACAGAGCCGTGTCCCCTGTCCTCGGGGTGGCAGGGACACAGAGCTGTGTCCCTCTGTGTCCTTGGGGTGGCAGGGACACAGAGCCATGTCCCCTGTCCTCGGGTGACAGGGGCACAGAGCTGTGTCCCCTGTCCTTGGGGTGGCAGGGACACAGAGCCATGTCCCCCGTCCTCGGGGTGGCAGGGGCACAGAGCCGTGTCCCCTGTCCTCGGGGTGGCAGGGACACAGAGCCATGTCCCCCGTTCTCGGGGTGGCAGGGGCACAGAGCCATGTCCCCTGTCCTCGGGATGGCAGGGGCACAGAGCTCTGTCCCCGCTGTGTCCCCTGTCCTTGGGGTGGCAGGGACACAGAGCTGTGTCCCCCATCCTCGGGTGGCAGGGGCACAGAGCCGTGTCCCCTGTCCTCAGGAGGCTCCGTGTGGCTGTGCCTGGGCTGTCCCAGCTGTGCCTCTGTGTGAGCTGGCTGCCTCCCAGCCTTGTTCCCTCTGGCTTCTCTGGAGCTGACAGATCCAAGCCCCCCTGTCCATTTCCAGTTCCCAAAGCACAGCCCTCAAACCCCTGGGTTAGATCCTGCTGTTCCCTGGCAGCTCCCAAGCACAGCCAGGGACACCAGGTGCCAGGGGGTGGCTGTGTGTGTGTCCTGGGGGGTGCCTTGGCACTGAGCTCTGTGCTGGCACCCTGGAATCTCTGGCTTTGCCAGGTTTGGGGAGGACTGAGAGAAACCCCAAGGGAGCCTGGTGTGAATAGGGAGAGCCAGAGGTGAGCTCTGGGGCGTTTAGGGAGCAGAGGGAACAGCTGGGGCATTAAAGGAGCAGAGCCAGAGGTGAGCTGGGGCATTTAGGAGCAGAGGGAAGAGCTGGTGTGTTTTAGGAGCAGATCCAGACGTGAGCTGGGGTATTTGGGGAGCAGAGAAAAGAGCTGCTGTGTTTTGGGAGCAGAGCCAGAGGTGAGCTGGGATGTGGTGGTATTTGAGGTTCCCCAGGACGAGGGAAGAGATGAGAATCTTGACTCCATGTTCCAGAAGGCTGATTTATTATATATCTATTATATTAAAAGAAAATGATATTGTAAAACTACACTAAAGAAGACATCAGAAGCCTAGAAAGGAATGAACAATGAAATCTTGTGACAGGCTCAGAGTCTGACACAGCTGGCTGTGGTTGGCCATTAGTTAAAAACAATTCACATGCTGGGTAAACAGTTCTCCAAATCACATTCCAGAGCAGCAAAACATGGAGAAGGTGAAGCTTCCCAGCTTCTCAGGAGAAAAATCCTGGCAAAGGGATTTTTCAAAAAATATGTCAGTGACACTGGGGCATTTAGGGATCGGAGGGAAGAGCTGGTATGTTTTGAGAGCAGATCCAGAGGTGAACTGGGGCATTTAGGGAGCAGATCCAGCGGGGAGCTGGGGCATTTAGGGAGCAGAGCCAGAGGTGAGCTGGGGCGTTTAGGGAGCAGAGCCAGGGAAGAGCTGGCATGTTTTGGGAGCAGAGCCAGGGAAGTGCTGGCGTGTTTTGGGACCAGATCCAGAGGTGAGCTGGGGCACTTAGGGAGCAGAGCCAGGGCAGAGCTTGCGTGTTTTAGGAGCAGAGCCAGAGGTGAGCAGAGCCAGGGAAGAGCTGGCGTGTTTTGGGAGCAGATCCAGGGAAGAGCTGGTGTGTTTTGGGAGCAGATCCAGAGGTGAGCTGGGGCATTTAGGGAGCAGAGCCAGAGGTGAGCTGGGGCACTTAGGGAGCAGATCCAGGGAAGAGCCGGTGTGTTTTGGGAGCAGAGCTAGGGAAGAGCTGGCATGTTTTGGGAGCAGATCCAGAGCAGGCCGGGCGTGCTGAGGGGGCAGACCCCAGCGCAGGGGTGGCCATGGGGGAGAGGAGCAGGGAGCTGGAGCCCCTTCCCTCCTGTAGCAGCTGTCTGTGCAGAGGCTCTCAGAGCAGAGGACAGGACTGGAGGAGGCCGTGCCCGCCCGGCCCTGCAGGTAAGGGGCTGCGGGGGGCTGTGGGGATGGAAAAGGGGAACGCTGAGCTCCTGGTGCATGCTGCTTCCCTGGGCTGCCCCTCACCACATCCTCTGTGTCCCAGGGCCCTGGGGAGCTGGGGGCAGTGCCCTGGTGCTTAGGCATGGAGAGCAGAAGGTTCTGGGAGCTGTGGAGGCCTCCTTCCCTGCCCCGCCGTGCCATGCTGCCCCTACAGCCCCTGTTTTCCTTGCAGGCCAAGAAGTACGCGATGGAGCAGAGCATCAAGAGCGTGCTGGTGAAACAAACCATCGCCCACCAGCAGCAGCAGCTCACCAACCTCCAGGTGAGAGCCCCCTGCGAGCCGCTCCCCGTGCCTCGTGCTCCCCCCGACACGGTGGAGTTCTCAGGGCCCTCGGAACCAGAGCACAGCCCTGAGCCTGCAGCTCCCCCAGGCACCCCGACTAACCTCACAAATTGCCCGCAGATCTCTCTTGTTCCCAGAGGAAATGGTTAAAAGTTCCTGTCCTGTTGGACGTCCCTTCTTGAGATACGAGAAGCCAAAGACTTTGCCGTGGGCTTTGCTTCTGAGCCATGTTTGAGGTGGTGAAGGCAGAAGGGATCCTGGGAACGGTGTCCTGTCACCATCTCCTCTGCCTGAGGGAGGGTCCCTGTGTCCCCGTGTGCCAGTGCTGCCCCATTTCCCTCCCCTGCACCCGGGTGCTCTCAATTCTGGAGAAGTTCTCTTGGCTGTTCCTGCTTGCACTGGAATGCCCATACCGGGAGAGCCCTTAACTGGGGTTTCACCTCCCCTCCTTCAGAGGTTTCTGGAACATATCTCAGCGCCTCTTCTCAAAGTCAGGAAGCCCAAAACGAAGGCTTTGCCTGAGGAACCCCTGCGGATGTGCTCTCCCTGCCCGGCAGCCGAGGCCGTTTGGGGCTGTGCCTGGTTCTGAGGGTCTGCTCTAGTTGAGGGGCTCCTTTTAAATGCTGGGGGTGAACCAAGGACAGTGGTCGCAGAGGTTGCTATTGCCTTGAGTCCCCCCTGGGATCCCACCCTGCTTCCCGAGGCAGCGGCAGCAGCACAAGCCCACCCTGGCCTGGTGGGACCGGGCTCGGCAGGGTCCTGGCGCCGGACGCTCCTGGGGACCAGGCAGTGAGGGCCGAGGAAGGAGAGGCCTCTCGCAGGTGCCCCTGCGCCGCCGCTCTGCTTGAGTTTGTACAAACAGCCGTAGTATGCTCAGCTCCAACAGACTGAACTCTGTCTTTACTGTCTTTCAGATGGCAGCAGTGACAATGGGCTTTGGAGATCCTCTCTCACCTTTACAATCGGTCAATAGACATATTCACTTCTTCTGGGGCACTTGTCTTAGTCAGGGCCTAGCGTGGGGACGTTCGTAGTGGTGCCAATGCTCTTGTCCGCGCCCAGCGCAGCCCTCCCACATCCCCACGTGTACTGGACACGCCCAGGAGCAGAGCGAGGTGTCACTGCCCCGAGAAGACCCCAGGCTGTGCAGTCTGCGGGGACACTGCCACTCGGGGGCACAGACAGCTTTAGATTTCCACCAGTTCTGAACACACCCGTGAAATTGTGGGAGCTGCATTTCTAGGGATGCTACAGTTCTGAGGTCCCGACCTAAAACTAACGGCCAAGGTAACTCACCAAGGGGCGACTTGTTGTGGAACGACCTCCTAGCAGCCAGAGCCGGCCGCTGCTGGGGAGGGCCGGGGTGCCGGAGGTTGGCAGAGCATGGTGCAGCCCAGGCTCAGACTCTCTTTACTGTGCACGCTCCAGACCAGGGCAGTATGGCACGTTCTGAGTGCAGCCAAAGCAGGATGGGAGGGACAGAACTGCAGGGCTGATCACAGAGCTCCTGTGAGCCTTTGTGCCCCTTCTAATCAGAGGCCACAAAGAGCTGAATGACCTGGCACGAGCCATCCTCTCCTTTTTCTGGGCAGAGTGTCCTGTGGCTCCTCTGTGCACCCAAAGGTTCATTTGTAAATACCTCTGTGGCTTGCTGGACTATGAGATTTGTGCCTGGTGTAAAACAGGGGCAGAGATTGAATCCCAAGGAAAAGGGCACTGAGGTGAAATGCCCAGTCTCCCTCCTGTGGCAGTGGGTGGTGTGTCAATGGGCAGCCAGAATGGCTGTTCTGGGGCAGGGTAAGTTTGGAGCAGCCTTCTTGGTGTGGATTTGGCAGAGATGGCATTGGAGCCCTCATGCCCAGGAACTCCCCCATCCCTGGAGCTGCTGCCTGGCAGTGGAACTGCAGCATATTGGCCTAGATTGTTTCTGGCTCATTCTCCCAGCTGGGCACAGCTGAGTTGGTGGCACAGGAAAGTTTTAATGGCTTGTGACCCCTTTTCCTCAGCCATTCCTCCCTGGGCAGTGACAGGTGGACACAGCCCAGGAGCAGGAGCAGGTACAGTTCAGAGCAGTCAGGATATCCCTTTCTTGGCAGGTGCTTCATCCCAGAGCTCCCTCAGGATGCACAAAGTGCAAACAGGACCCTGTCCAGCCCTTCTCCTGTGGCCAGGGTTCCCCAATTCCTTTGTGGAGGCAGCACAGCCTGAACTGAACTCCCTGAGCTCTGGGTCTCAGGGCCTGAGTGACAGCTTCCCATGGGCTCAGTCCTCAGTGTCACAGTGTGAGATTCCCACATCCCTTCACCATCCCCTGTGTCATGGCTGGTGCTTGTGGTGAGGGCTGTGCATCGCCTGCTTTGGTTACAAGAGCACCCCAAGGTGGGGTTTTGGCCTGTCCTTGAAATAACCTCCAGTCCCTTTAGAGCAGCATTGCACAGCTGCAGGTGGGGGCTGCTGCCTGGCTGAGGCTTCAGGTGCTTTTCCATGTGACAGGAGGAGAAGGAGGCACAGGGAGCAGTGAGATCAGCCTGGGGCTGCTGAGAGCACTGAGATGTCCAGGCAGGAGGCCCTGACACCGACCTGTGCTGAGCTCAGGGGCCCAGGGCACGTCCCCCACCCAGATGCACCTGTTGGTGACCCACAGACACAGAGTCAGCACAGCCCGTCTCAGCTCTGCCTTCTGCAAGCCCAGAATCCCGGGGTCATTGAGGCTGGAAAAGACCTCCAAGGTCATCGAGTCCAAGCTGTGCCTGATCCCCACCCTGTCACCAGCCCAGGTGTTCCCTGGACACCTCCAGGGATGGGGACTCCACACCTCCCTGGGCAGCCTCTTCCAGTGCCTGACCACCCTTTGCAGGAAGGAATTCTGCTGGCTGAAAATCCCGAGTCCTCCTCACTCCCCCAGCTCTCCTTTAGAGTCCTGTGGCAGGGCAAGGTGGGCATTTCCTCCTGCAGAGGCGCCTCCGGAGTGACACTGGTGGTGGCTCTGAGCCCCTCAGCAGATGGGCTGCACACTGAGGGGCTTTCCAAAGCTAGGGATGTGCTGGAGCACCTGGCAGAGCAGCCAGCCTCTGTGTGCTGCATGTGCACGTGCCATAGTCCTGCTGGTCACAGCCTGCAGAGTAAAGAGAGCCGTGGCCCAGCCGTGCTGGGAAATCCTTAGCCAGGCAGGGGGCAACTGGATGTCACCCCAGGAGCAGCAGCTGGGGCTGGATGTCACCTCAGGAGCAGCAGCTGGGGTTTAATGGCACCTCAGGAGCAGCAATTGGGGTTTAATGTCACCTCAGGAGCAGCAGCAGGGGCTGGATGTCACCACAGGAGCAACAATTGGGGTTGAATGTCACCTCAGGAGCAGCAATTGGGGTTGAATGTCACCTCAGGAGCAACAATTGGGGTTTAATGTCACCTCAGGAGCAGCAGCTGGGGCTGGATGTCACCTCAGGAGCAGCAGTTGGGGTTTAATGTCATCTCAGGAGCAGCAGCTGGGGCTGGATGTCACCACAGGAGCAATATTTGAGGCTTGATGTCACCTCAGGAGCAGCAATTGGGGTTTAATGTCACCTCAGGAGCAACAGTTGGGGTTTAATGTCACCTCAGGAGCAGCACTTGGAGCTGGATGTCACCACAGGAGCAACATTTGAGGCTTGATGTCACCTCAGGGGCAGAGTCTGGGGCTTGATGTCACCTCAGGGGCAGAGTCTGGGGCTTGATATCACCTCAGGAGCAACAATTGGGGCTGGATGTCCCCTCAGGAGCGACATTTGAGGCTTGATGTCACCTCAGAAGCAGCAGTTGGGGCTGGATGTCACCTCAGGCACAGAGTCCGGGGTTTGATTTCACCCCAGGAGCAGCAGTTGGGGTCTGATGTCACCTCAGGGACAGTCTGGGTTGAGACCTGTCCCTGTTTGCAGTGTCCTGTGTGGAATGGCAGGAGTCAGACCCTCCCAGGCTGTTTGCAGTGGCAGTCCTGGACAGGAGCAGGAATCTCTCTGGTACAGGCTGTGTCCCTGCCGCTGTGCCTGTCACAGACGAGCTCTCCCTTCCTTTTGGGCTGCAGCATCCCCAGGCACAGCTCCTGCTTGTTGGGGCACCTCAGAAATCAGCGTTGAGGAGGCCCTGAGTGCTTTCCCTCTGCCCCAGGGGTCCTGTGCTCATTGGGACACCCCAGAAATCAGCCTTGAGGAGGCCCTGAGTGCTTTCCCTCTGCCCCAGGGGTCCCCAGGCATGGCAGAGCTCCTGTGCTCCTTAGGGCACCCCAGAAATCATCTCCTGAAGGCCCTGGGTGCAGCCCCTCTGTCCTGGGGGTGCTAGGGAGGGAAGGGGGGGCTCAGAGCTCCCTCTGTGCTGCAGGGCAGGGCCAGAGGCATCACCTGCTGCTGCTGCACGTGCTCTGCACCAGCCTCTTGGTGCCCCAGGTGTGTCCCACCTGCCCCAGAGCCGTCCCCTGACCTGCAGGCAGTGACTCCTCCAGAGCCCCGAGGTGTGGCCGCATCTCCAGGGCCCCGTCCCTCAGCAGCTCTAGAGCTGCTCGGGGGGTGACAGCACGAAGGACAGACACACTGCTCTGCTTTTGGGATCCCTCCCTTGAGGAATGGCTGGATTTGTCTGAGAGCAGGTTCCAGGCAGATGCAGGGCACCGCAGCAGGAACCCTGCGTGCAGTGCCCGCGCGGCGGGGCTGCCCCAGCACAGCCAGTGCCGCCAGGCAGGGATGAGTACTGGCACCACACGCTTCCCAGGAGTCCCGCTGGGCCACGGGAGTGCCTGGCTCTGCTCTTGAGCTGTGGCAGGGGTGGTGCCCAGTACTGGATCTCGCACTGCCGGGGGCGGGGGGAGGCTCTGGTGCCGGAGGGAGCGGGGGGAGGTTCCCAGGTTCCAAATCCAGGCCCTGTGCTGCCGGGGAGGGGGCGGGAGTGCGATGGATCTGTGCTGCTGGGGGGAGCGGGAGGGGTTCTCCCAGTGCCCCGAGCTGAGCCCCTGGCTGCCTGGAGGGGAAGCTGCCCTAGAGCGAAGGGATTCCCTCCTCCTGCAGGTGAGGCTGGAGGCGAGACCCGGCCGGAGGGGCCGAGCCGTGCGTGCCCCGGGCTTTATCCGGGACCGAGGCGGGCGGATCCGCTCCAGCGGCCCGTGCAGCGAGCAGGGAACTCCTTCTGGTCCAGGCTGTGGCTGGCTCCGGGAGGGAAGCAGCAGGGGGAGGAGGCCCCGCGGCCGTGGCCAGCCCGGCACTGACCGGCCAGTCCTTGTCTCGCTACAGATGGCGGCCCAGAGGCAGCGCGCACTCGCCATCATGTGCCGGGTCTACGTGGGCTCCATCTACTACGAACTGGGCGAGGACACCATCCGCCAGGCCTTCGCCCCCTTCGGGCCCATCAAGAGCATCGACATGTCCTGGGACTCCGTCACCATGAAGCACAAGGTGGGACGGGGTTAGGGTTCCCTGGGAGGTTCCCTGCCTGTGACAAGGGGTGCAACCAGAGGAGCTTTATGGTGCTGTCCCACCAAAACCCTTGTGGGATTGCCTGGGTCTGGCAAAGAGGAGGTGAACTGTCTTGAATTCCTTGGGGGCAGCAAGAGCTGGTGGTGCTGATGCCCAGTGATGAGGGGTTTTGGGGTCTTCTGCAAGGACATTTCTTTCAGCCATGTGTCCTAAACACAAAATGAGCAACTTTGCAGAAATTTGGAAGGAATTTTTCCCTGTAAGGGTGGGCAGGCCCTGGCACAGGCTCTCCAGAGAAGCTGTGGCTGCCCCATCCCTGGAAGTGTCCAAGGTCAGGCTGGATGGGGTTTGGAGTAACCTGGTCTAGTGGAAGGTGTGGAACTGTATGGGCTCTAAGGTCCCTACAACCCAAACCTTTCCATGGTTCCCAGCCCTCAAGGAGCATCCTCCTCTCTTCAAGGCTTTCCAGATGCAGCCAGGAGAGGAAAGGGCCTCTATCCCTGTGAAGAACAGGCTCTTTTTAGCACGGGGGGTGAACATTTGCAGCTGCCTGATCTGCTTAGGGCAGGATTGTGGTGGGAGCTGGGGGTGTGTGGGGTGAAGTGCATGGAGTCAGAATCGTTGAGGTTGGAAAAGAGCTCCCAGAGCACTGAGTGCCACACTCAGTCATTCCTTGGACATCTCCAGGGATGGGGACTCCCCAGCTCCTTGGACAGCCCCTTCCAATGCCTGACCACCCTTTCAGTGAAGAAATTCCTCCTGCTGTCCAGCCTGAAGCTCTGGAAGTGCTGACAAGGCAGCAGCCCTTAGTTAGGTGGCGTTTTGCTGCAGAGCCTCAGAGTCTGAGAGGCTGCCTTGTCAGCCTCCTTTCCTCCAGGCTGAGCCCCTTCCCAGCTCCCTCAGGAATTCTCCATCCAGAGTCAGATGTCCTTGGGGGAACCTCTGCAGGCATCTTCTGCCACATTAAAATGCTTTTCTAAGGGATCTCCTTGGGCCACGAGCAGGAATCAGTGAGGTGGGAATCAATCCCACCTGTAGGTCCATGGGGAAGCTTGGCACAGCTGGAGTGACTGACAGGTGTCTCCTCCCATCCCAGGGCTTTGCCTTTGTGGAATACGAGGTTCCTGAGGCTGCCCAGCTGGCCCTGGAGCAGATGAACTCTGTCATGCTGGGGGGAAGGAACATCAAGGTGAGTAACACTCCTGCTCTGCAAATTCCTGCTGTTCTTTTCCTGGAAATGCTCCCCACAGCCCTGTGGTGGGGGAAGGAACCTAAAGACTGTTCCCTGATGGACCTTGATGTCCAACATGGGGCACATGGTGGCTCTGGGTCCCTTCTCCTGGGGAGAAACCTGCAAGTTCCACCTGAGACTGGCCCCAGGCACTGCACTCAGGTTTTCCCACCCACACATGGAATTCTTTTGAAGACAAAGCAAAGGGGATTCTTTATATCTTTTATGGTGTCTCTAACACACCCTGAGTGTGTGCAGGGTGCCATGGCCCAGGGGGTTTAGGAGAGAGGGAGGAATGCTGTGGTTTCCCGGCAGAATGCTTCTCAGTCCCTGGAAGTTTGTGTTTGGCAGGTCAGGGAAGGTAAATGGGTACAGGGAGGAGGGAGCAGAGCCCAGAACCCCGTCAGTGCAGGCTGTTCTGGACCTGTTCCCTCTGAGCTGTGCTGTGCTTTGCACAGGCTGGGGCCAGGTGCTCCATGGGCTGTCCATACCACACAATAATGGAGCAGTTCTGGGCGTGTTCCCTCTGAGCTGTGCTGTGCTTTGCACAGGCAGGTGCCAGATGCTGCCCTGCTCCGTGGGCTGTCCATACCACAGAATAATGGAGCTGTTCTGGGCCTGTTTCCTCTGAGCTGTGCTGTGCTTTGCACAGGCAGGGGCTAAGTGCTACCCTGCTCCATGGGCTGTCCATACCATACCACACCACAGAATAGTGGAGCTGTTCTGGGCCTGTTCCCTCTGAGCTGTGCTGTGCTTTGCACAGGCAGGCAGGGGCCAGGGGCTGCCCTGCTCCATGGGCTGTCCATACCACAGAATAATGGAACTGTTCACATGGTAAATCACTCCCAGCCCATCTAGTCCAGTCTGTCACCTATCCCCACCTTGTCACCCAGCCCAGAGCACTGAGTGCCACATCCAGCCATTCCTTTGATGTCTCCTGTGATGGGGATTCCAGCACCTCCTGGGCAGCCCCTTCCAATGCCTGAATGCCTTTCCTTGAAGAGATTCCTCCTGATGTCCACCCTGAGCCTCCCCTGGCCCAGCCTGAGGCCGTTCCCTCTGCTCCTGTCCCTGTTCCCTGGAGCACAGCCCGACCCCCGCAGCTGTCCCCTCCTGGCAGGAGCTGTGCAGAGCCACAAGGGCCCCTGAGCCTCCTTTCCTCCAGGCTGAGCCCCTTCCCAGCTCCCTCAGGAATTTTCCAGCCCCTTCCCAGCTCTCTCAGGTACTCCAGGCCCTTCCCAGCTCCATTTCCACCTGTCCCTGCAGGTGGGGAGGCCCAGCAACATCGGGCAGGCTCAGCCCATCATTGACCAGCTGGCAGAGGAGGCCCGAGCCTTCAACCGCATCTACGTGGCCTCGGTGCACCAGGACCTGTCCGATGACGACATCAAGAGCGTGTTCGAGGCCTTTGGCAAGATCAAATCCTGCACCCTGGCCAGGGACCCCACCACAGGGAAGCACAAAGGCTACGGCTTCATTGGTACAGCTGGGTGCACCTGGGGCAGGGCAGGGGGGTGTCCTCTGCTCCTGGGGCTGGGGCAGGGCAGGGAGTTGTCCTCTGGGCTGCTCTCGGGGCTGGGATTTTCCTTAATGGGTGGGAATAAATTTGGAGCAGGTCAGGGCTGGATTTAGAAATGTAATTTATGGTGGCTGTGACGGGGTGAGGTGCTGACAGAGGGTGCCCAGAGAAGCTGTGGCTGCCCCAGCCCTGGCAGTGCCAAGGGCAGGTTGGACAGGCTTGGAGCAGCCTGGGACAGTGGAAGGTGTCTGTGGCAGGGAGTGGGGCTGGAAGGAGTTTGAGGCCCCTTCCCACCCAAACCGTTCCCTAATTCCGTGATTGAACAAGCTTGGAGCAGCCTGGGACAGTGGGAGGTGGTCCTGCCCAGGGCAGGGGAAAAGGAGTGGGGCTGGAAGGAGTTTGAGGTCCCTTCCCACCCAAACCATTCTATAATTCTGTGGTTGAACAGGCTTGGAGCAGCCTGGGACAGTGGAAGGTGTGTCTATGGCAGGGAGTGGGGCTGGAAGGTGTTTGAGGTCCCTTCCCACCCAAACCATTCCATAATTCCGTGACTGAACAAGGGAAGGCTCACTAGTGAATGATCTCCTCCTGCAGAGTACGAGAAAGCCCAGTCCTCCCAGGACGCCGTGTCCTCCATGAACCTGTTTGACCTGGGGGGTCAGTACCTGCGTGTGGGCAAGGCTGTGACACCCCCAATGCCACTGCTGACCCCTGCCACACCTGGGGGGCTGCCCCCTGCAGCTGCTGTCGCTGCTGCCGCTGCCACCGCCAAGATCACAGCACAGGTGAGGCACGGGCTGGGACAGGGGATGGACAGGTGAGACACAGAGGTGGAACAGGGGAGGAGTAGGTGAGACACAGGGATGGAACAGGGACAGCACAGAGCACCGCACAGGGTGTCCAGAGAAGCTGCCCCAACTCTGGAAGTGTTCCAGGCCAGGTTGGGCAGAGCTTGGAGCAGCCTGGGACAGTGAAAGGTGTCCCTGCTCGTGGCAGGTGTGTGACTGGATGAGCTTTAAGGTCCCTTCCAGCACAAGCCATTCCAGGGTGCCATGATTGCAGATCATACTCTGTCCCAGGATTTCACACGTGGAGGCTTGTCCCTGGCAGTGGGCAATCTGAGACACCAGATTGTGGAATCATCTGGCACAGCTGATGAGAGCTTCATTCCAAGAACTGGTGGGGAAGGGTGGAGGGAATTCCTAGTCTGGAAACCAAGCCAGCAGTGAGGGAAAAATGTTTGCAGGAGAGGCTGAAAGAAAGCAGGAGAGGACATGGAAGGGATGAGGGCTGGGGGCAGGAGCAGCACTCTGGCTGCAGGTCACACCTGTAGCAGGGTGGAACAGGCCTGGGATGGCTTTAAGCTGCTAAAAACAGGGAAAGGCAGAGATGGGGTGGATTGGATATTGGTACAGAGCTTGAGTTCTCTGATTTTGTTTTCCTGAAGTACCAGGAGCTCCCGGGTGGGACAGATTCCCAAGGCTGTGCCCCCCTCCCAGCCTTGGGCAGCAGGATCCCCCCATGGCACTGCAGCCCATGGAGCAGGACAATTCCAGCACTGATTGCATTGTGGGGTTTGCTTGGGCAGGAATTGCTGGGCAGAGCAGCCCCTGGTGGTGTTGCAGCGTGGCTGAGGCTCCAAAAGGCTTTTTGGGACTGTTTCCCTGAAGGGGAAGGTGGAGGCAGGAATGGGAGGAGCTGCCCCTCATGTGGAACTCACAGGTCCCAGGAGAGATTCCAGAGGGCTGGAAAGCTCTGCAGTCAGGGCAGGGAGGAAGCTGAGACATGGCTGGAATTACTTGGATCAGAATCACTTGGGAAGGGAGAATGGACTCTGCTTAATGATGCAGATGTGGTACAGACACATGTAAATCCTGCTGTTCTGTCAGGAAACTGCAGGATCTGTTCCTGCCAGGAGGAACATGGCACTAGAGAGAGAGGAGCAGGGGTCACCCCTGTCTGCCTGAGGTGGGAAAAGTCAGACTGGCAGGGAAGTGAAGGAACCAGAAGTATTGGGAGAAGTTTTTTAGCCATTTCCAGTGGAGCCAGAAATTCCAGTGGGTTTGTTCCAGCACTTTCTCATTCCCCTTCAACAGGAGCTTCATCTGCAGTGGAAATAGGAGTGGCCTTGTGGGCACTGGGGGCAGAGCCCTGATGGGATGGGTTGGATCCCAGGGCTTGGGCATTTATGTAGGGGAGAGTTAGGATATCACAGCAGTCACAGATCCACTGACATCTGGGATGGAAGGACAGAACCTTGGCATCTTCTGCTCTGCCACACCAGGGATTACAGGAACCCCGAGAACACAAGGGAGAGGAGGATGGGACTTTTTAAACCAGGACTACAATGGCCTGGAAAGTAGCAACAACCAGAAAACATGGGGATCCTGGGCTGTGTTTTAGGCACATTATTTCAGTACTTCCATGGAAGTGCTTGTTGTTTAGCTGCATGTTCCTCCTGGATGCTGTTGGTGTTCTCAGTGTCTGGAGTCAGGGTGTTCCTTGGGATTGGAGTTCAGGAGGAGCTTTTTCTTCCTTGGGATTGCAGTTCCAGGAAGAGGTTTTTCTTCTTGGGATTGGAGTTCCAGGAGGTTTTTCTTCATTGGGATTGGGGCTCCAGGAGGAGGTTTTCCTCCCAGGGTTTCATTCAGAGTTTCTGTGTCCCTGCTGGGCTGGGTGACACCTTTGCCTTCCCTCACAGCCCTGGGAGTTCCTGGGGATGGAGTGTTGGGATTTCCAGGTGCAGGGAGCTGAGCCTGGCTGGCTGCTCTGTTCCTGGGGATGGAGTGTTGGGATTTCCAGGTGCAGGGAGCTGAGCCTGGCTGGCTGCTCTGCAGGGACAGTCCCTGGGGCAGGGCTAACCCCAGGTTTTCCCTGTGTCCCCAGGAAGCCGTGGCAGGAGCTGCAGTGCTGGGCACGCTGGCCACCCCGGGGCTCGTGTCCCCTGCCCTGACCCTGGCCCAGCCCCTGGGGGCTCTGCCCCAGGCTGTGATGGCTGCACAGGCCCCTGGTGTCATCACAGGTGGGTCCCCTCCTCCTGGTATGTGTGTCCCCTGTCTGCTGGCACCTGTGTGTGTCCCCTTCTGTCACCTGTGTCTGTCCCTTCTTCCTGGCACCGGTGTCCCCTGTCTGCAGGCACTTCTGTGCATTCCCTTCTGTCACCTGTGTGTGTCCTCTTCTGTCACCTGTGTCTGTCCCCTCTTCCTAGAACCTGTGTGTGTCCCTTCTTCCAGGCCCCTGTGTCCCCTTCCTCCTGGCATTTGTGTGTCATCTTCTATCTGTCATGTGCATGTGCTCTTGTCACCTTTGTGCTTCCTCCTCCTGTCACCTGCACATGTCTATCCCCTCCTCCTGCCACGTGTGTGCTGTGCCTCTTGTCACCTCTGTGTGCCCCTCCTCCTGTCACTTGTGTGTGCCATGCCTCTTGTCACCTCTGTGTGCCCCTCCTCCTGTCACCTGTGTGTGCCGTGCCTCCTGTCACCTCTGTGTGCCCCTCCTCCTGTCACCCGTGTGTGCTGTGCCTCCTGTCACCTCTGTGTGCCCCTCCTCCTGTCACCCATGTGTGCTGTGCCTCCTGTCACCTCTGTGTGCCCCCTCCTCCTGTCACCCGTGTGTGCTCTCCCCCTGTCACCTGTGTCCCTTTTCCACAGATGCCACTCTGTGCCACACGTGAAGCTGGACTCCTGCTCCTGGCCCTGCCTGGGCTGGAGCTGGGAAGTTTTATGGATTCATTTTGTGTCCAATAGATGGGACAGGCCATGGTTCCCAGCAGGAACACCTGGCATGGGGGGAAAAGCTGGGAAATTGGCACTGGGTGTCACTGACCATTGTCCAGGTGTCACTGAGCATGGCCTGGGTGTCACTGACCATTTTCTGGGTGTCACTGACCATCACCCAGGTGTCAGTGGCCATCACCCAGCTGTCACTGACCACTGCCCAGCTGTCACTGTCCAGCTGTCCCTGACCACTGCCCAGGTGTCAGTGACCATCACCCAGCTGTCACTGACCGCTGCCCAGCTGTCACTGTCCAGCTGTCACTGACCACTGCCCAGGTGTCAGTGACCATCACCTAGCTGTCACTGCCCATCGCCCAGGTGTCAGTGACCATCACCCAGCTGTCACTGACCACTGCCCAAGTGTCACTGACTGCTGCCCAGCTGTCCCTGACCACTGCCCAAGTGTCACTGACCATGGCCCAGCTGTCAGTGACCATCACCCAGCTGTCCCTGACCATCACCCAGCTGTCACTGACCACTGCCCAAGTGTCACTGACCATGGCTCAGCTGTCACTGTCCAGCTGTCCCTGACCATCACCCAGCTGTCACTGACCACCCTCCTGTCCCTGCCCTCTCCCAGGTGTGACCCCTGCCCGGCCGCCCATCCCGGTGACCATCCCGCAGGTGGGCGTTGTGAACCCCATCCTGGCCAGCCCCCCAGCGCTGGGGCTGGTGGAGGTGAAGAAGGAGAATAAGGAGGAGGAGGAGGTGTTCCAGGAGTCGGAGCGGCCGGAGATGCTGAGCGAGCAGGAGCACATGAGCATCTCGGGCAGCAGCGCCCGCCACATGGTCATGCAGAAGCTGCTGCGCAAGCAGGAGGTGGGTGTGCCAGGGGACAGCTGCCACCTGGGTGCCAGGCTGGGCTCTGCAGGGCAGGGGGGCTCGGGAGCACCCACAGCACCTCTGAGCTCAGCGACAGCACCTCTGAGCTCAGCAATAGCAGTTCAGGGCACCCACAGCACCTTTGAGCTCTCCCACAGCACCTCTGAGCTCAGGGGCATGAGACAGTGTTCACAGGGGTCCCAGGATGAGGGAAGAGATGAGGATCTGACTCCATGTTTCAGAAGGCTTGATTTATTATATTATGATATCTATTACATTAAAATTATACTAAAAGAATAGAAGAAAGGCTTTCATCAGAAGGCCAGCTAAGAATAGAAAAAGGAATGATAACAAAGGTTTGTGGCTCCGACAGAGAGTCCGATCCAGCTGACTGTGATTGGCCATTAATTACAACCAACCACATGAGACCAATCACAGATGCACCTGTTGCATTCCACAGCAGCAGATAACCAGTGTTTACATTTTGTTCCTGAGGCCTCTCAGCTTCTCAGGAGGAGAAATCCTAAGGAAAGGATTTTTCATAAAAGATGTCTGTGACAGTGGCACCCACAGAACCTCTGAGCTCAGCAACACCCACAGCACCTCTGAGGGGCACCCACAGGGCTGTGAGGAGCAGCCACAGGAAATGTGGAGCCTGCAATGGGATGGGGCAGAGCCTGGAATGCCCCAGGGGTGCCAAGGCCAGGTGCACAGAGCAGCCTGCCCAGGGAGGGGGGGTGGAATTCCTGTCCTTGAAGGTGTCCAGAGGCCACCTGGATGTGGCCCTGAAGCTCAAGCCAGGTGATCTGAGAGCCCAAGGGGCTCAGTCATGGAAGGGCTAGGTGCAGATGTGTCACCCACCTGTGTGGCCTGTTGGGAGCACCCAGAGCACCTGGGGAAGCCTTTACTGGGAGGGCAGGAAAGGAACACAAAGAGAATTGTGACAGAACTGGGGAACTGTTGAGGAAAAGCGAGAAATACCTGTGTGGTATTTTTGGGGTCCCCTGTGAAAGGTGAGGAAAATGATGAATCTGACTCCATATTCTTAGAAGGCTAATTTATTATTTTACGATATTATATTATTAAAGAATACTAAACTAAACTATACTAAAGAATACAGAAAGGATACCGACAGAAAACTAGAAAGACACCAATGAAATCTTGTGACTCTCCCCAGAGTCTTGACACAGTTTGACCATGATTGGCCATTAAGTATAAACAGTTCACATGAAACCAATGAAGCAATCTCCTACCACATTCCAAAGCAGCAAAACACAGGAGAAGTAAATCAGATAAATTATTGCTTACATTTTTCTGTGAGGCTTCTCAGCTTCCCAGGAGAGAAATCCTGGCAAAGGGATTTTTCCAGGAAATATGAGAGTGACATACCTGGATGGCAGCAGCACAGGGAAGATGGGAGTGGCGCCCAAGGCTCTTTGTGCTTCCAGGGCGTGTCCCAGGAAATGGCACACAGCATTCTCAGCCAGGGCAATTCTGATCCAGGGGCCAGCAGCACACAGGCCTGGAAACTTGCTGCCACATTTCTCTTCACAGAGAAAAGCAAGGCACAACTGTTCCCAAGAATATTTCTGAGTTTCACATTCTCTGAACATCAGAGAAAGGAAAAACAATTCTTATCATTTGCTGTGCCTGTGTTGTGCCAAAGTGCAATGCAATATGGAGATTGTTTACCCAGAGTGATGGTGTTTTGTTTCGTTGGCCTGTCAGGGCCAGGTGTGTGTGTGTGTTTGTGTCCTGGATTGTCTGGACAGTCATGAGAGAGTCAGGAGATGAGTGCAGAGAGAGCAGTTGTGTGCAGAGTGAGTGCTTGGCAGATTCACTTTAGGTGTATTGTAACATAGTATAATAAAGTAATTAATTATTATTGAAGTAATTATTAATAATTTTATTATTTTAATTAATTAAAATTAAACATTGAGTAAAATTCATTAAAAATTAAAAATATTTTTATTAATTTTAATTATTAACGCAATTATTTATTATTAAAGTAATTAGCCTTCTAATAAGATGAAGTCCTCCTCATCGTTCCTCCTTTGTCAGGTTGCCAGGCAGCAATAGAAGCTCAGTGATTATCCCTGAGAGCCTGAGCCTGCAGCCCAAGGACGGTGCCTGTGTAGTCTGTTCACAGGGGTCCCAGGATGAGGGAAGAGATGAGAATGTTGACTCTATGTTTCAGAAGGCTGGTTTATTATTTTATTATATATATTATATTAAAACTATACTAAAAGAATAGAAAAAAGAATTTCATCAGAAGGTTGGAAAGGAAGAGGAAAGGAATGATGATAAAATCTTGTGACTGACCAGACAGTCTGAGACACCTGGACTGTGATTGGCCATTAATGAAAAACAACCACATGAGACCAATCACACATGCACCTGTTGCATTCCACAGCAGCAGATAATTCTTGTTTGCATTTCATTTCTAAAGCCTCTCAGCTTCTCAGGAGAAAAAATCCTAGCAAAAGGATTTTACATAAAATATCATGGCTGCAGTGCCTGCAGTGGGTTTGGGGTTTGGGTGCTGGGCTGTGCCCCGTGCGTGTCTCCAGCCTTCACCCCCTCCTCTCCTCCCTCCCTGCAGTCCACGGTGATGGTGCTGCGGAACATGGTGGATCCCAAGGACATCGACGACGACCTGGAGGGAGAGGTGACGGAGGAGTGCGGCAAGTTCGGGGCCGTCAACAGGGTCATCATCTACCAGGAGAAGCAGGGCGAGGAGGAGGATGCCGAGATCATCGTCAAGATCTTTGTGGAGTTCTCCATGGCCTCAGAGACTCACAAGGCCATCCAGGCGCTCAATGGGCGCTGGTTCGCGGGCAGGAAGGTGGTGGCCGAGGTCTATGATCAGGAGAGGTTCGACAACAGCGACCTCTCGGCATGAACTGCGCCCCGGGGCAGGGGCTGGGCCTGGAGATGGGCCTGGACCTGATCCTGGGGATGGATCTGACCCTGGGGCTGGGATTTGGATTGGGCCTGGATCTGATCCTGGGGCTGGGCCTGGACCTGACTGATCCTGGGGCTGGGGATGGGCCTGGACCTTATCCTGGGCCTGGATGTGACCCTGGGGCTGGGATGGGCCTGGGCCTGGATCTGATCTGGGGCTGGGACTGGGCCTGGGCCTGGATTTGACCCTAGGCCTGGGGATGGGCCTAGACGTGATCCTGGGCCTGGGGATGGGCCTAGACCGGATCCTGGGCCTGGGCTGGGATTGGGCCTGGATCTGATCCTGGACCCTGGGGATGCTCCTGGGGCTGGGCCTGGATCTGATCCTGGGGCTAGGGATGGGCCCAACTCTGATCCCGGATCCTTGATCCAGGAAATGGGCCCAACTCTGATCCTAGGGCTGGGTTGGGCTTGGATCTGGGGATGGGCCCAGCTGTGATCCCAGGGCTTGGCCAGGCTCAGATCCAGGGAATCGGCCCGGCTCTGTCCCAGGAATTGGCCAGGCCCGGATCCAGGGACTCAGCCCAGCTCTGTCCCAGGAATTGGCCAAGCTTGGATCCAGGGAATCAGCCCAACTCTGTCCCAGGAATTGGCCAAGCTCTGCTCTGGGGCCGGCCCTGCCACCTCTGCCTCCCGGGGTTTTTGTAGCCGTGTGTAAAGGACATTCCAGGACATTCCAGGGTGGGCAGGGATCTGGTATCTGGGGACTTGAGATAAAAACGCAGAGAAAGCCGGTGTCACTTGTGTGTGTGTGTGACAGGGCTGGCACCACCTCGGCCCGGGCTGGCACTGCACTGGCACTTCCTCGGCCCAGGCTGGCACAGGGCTGGCACCTCCTCGGCCCAGTTTGGCACCTCCTCGGCCCGGGCTGGCACCCTGAGGAGCAGGGCCGGCCCCGGGAGATGCTGTGGGTGCCCCTGCCCAGCCCCAGCTCCCTAATGCACACTGGGGTCAGTTCCCTGGGGGCAGGAGTGGCCCTTTCCCTCCAGGCTGGGCTCCAGGGGTTGGGAGGGAGCCAAGGGGGAACCTGGGGAGGGGGAGTCACCCCTGAGGGCTCCTGTCCTGGGAGGAGGAGTCACCCCTGGGGGCTCCTGTCCAACCTAGCTGAGCCTGTGCTCAGGAATCCCACAGGACTGGGACCCAGCTGGAGGAAATGATCCTGTTACTGAAGAAATGCAGATCTAAGGAGGATGATCCCCAGGGAACTGCAGCCAGGAATTCCAGGAATCCCGGGAATTCCAAGCCCAGCCTCCCTCTGGGGTTGCTGCCAGGCCTGGGGGTGTCCTGCAGCTGAGCCTGGGACACTCACCCGGGGCTGGAATGGCTCAGCCTGGAGCGCAGCCAGCAGCTGTTTCTGGGGATGTTGGAATGCTGGGATGCCGTGTCTTAAACAGCTGGGGTTTTGGGATGCAGGGATTTGGGGATGCTGTGCCTGCAGCACCTGCGGTTTGGGATATAGGGATTTTGGGATGCTGTGCCTGCAGCAGTTGGGATTTTGGAAATAGGGATTTTGGGATGCTGTGTCTACAACAGCTGGGATTTTGGGATGCAGGGATTTGGGGATGCTGTATCTACAGCAGCTGGGATTTTGGGATGTAGGGATTTCAGAATGCTGTGCTACAGCAGCTGGGATTTGGGGATTCCATGTCTACAGCAGCTGGGGTTTGGGATGCTGGGATGCCGTGTCTAGAGCAGCTGGGGTTTTGGGACGCAGGGATTTGGGGTTGCCGAGTCTGCAGTAACTGGGGTTTTGGGATATAGGGATTTGGAGGTGCTGTGCTACAGCAGCTGGGATTTGGGATGCAGGGATATGGAGATGGTAGGGCTTTGGAGATGGTGGGATTTTGGGATGTGGGGATTTTGATGTTAAGGGAAGACATCCCAAAAATGCAGGGTTTAAGCACGGGAGAACCTGTGCGCCCAGCGGGCAGCCGGGACAGCCTGCCCTGCTCGTTCGTCAGGGTGGGGAACTGACCCAAATGCACCTGTCCAGGACCTGTAGGAACCGAGCAGGGAAGCAACCAAATCCTTCTGGCAGTGGAAGCACTGAGAGCTTGGAGCTCTTGTCACACTGATCCATCAAATACATTTATGGACGAGATCCATACCAACATTCTCCTCCTGTCCCAGGGAAGAGGTGGCTGCCCTATCCCTGGCCGTGTCCCAGGCCAGACTGGGCAGGTCCTGGTGCAGCCTGGCCCAGGGGAAGAAGTCCCTGCCCATGGCAGGGCTGGCACCGGACGGGCTTTAAGGTCGCTCCATCCCAAACCATTGCAGAGCCCCCGGGGCCGGCATGGGGCGGGGCGGGCGCTCGGCAGTGCCAGCAGCTCGTGCTGCCGCCTGCTGTTGGCACCTGGAACTGCAGCTGGGGGCGGGCATGTGCAGTGCTGCTGATTTCCCGGCACTCGCTGCTGCCCTCCTGCGGACAATTCCTGAACTACAACTCCAGGAGATGAGCGGGTAAAGAGGGAAAATCCTTCTTTGATTTGAAAGAAAAAAGAGTTTCCTGAGCAAAACACCCCAGTTTTTTCCATAAATAAATGGGCAGTGCTGCCTCTGTCCCCATTTCTCTGTTTTATTTCTCACCCTTCTTTATTCTGTTTGCCTCCCAGCGCTTCTTCTGTAGTGTTACCTCAAATCAGAAAGTTTGGAACTGGCCCCGAACTGATTATTCATCCTTTTTTAATTGCACTGAACAGCCCCCACCAGCTCCCTCAGCCCTTCCTTGTGCTTCAGACCCTTCCCCAGCTCCATCCCCTCCCTGGACATGCTCCAGCCCCTTCAGGTCCTTTCTGAGAGGCTGCAGTGTACGAGGAAAAAGGGAGGAACATTTCTCCAGCACTTCTTTGAAGATCCAACTTTGAAAAATAAAGCTTTGAGTTCCCTCTAACAAAAACTCCAGGAAAGGTTTTATTTCAGGAAATGAGGCGCCCTGCAGGAGAGACATTATAGAAGCTGTAGCAGGTTCATCAGGTGAGCCAGCAGCAAATTTTGGTAAACTATTGATACACCAGACAAGCAAGGATCAAATTTCTGATAAACATTTGATACACCAGGAGAGCAAGGATCAAGTTTTTGATACATTTCTTATACGGCATGTGAGCAAGCAGCAATTTATTGATGCAACAGGCGAGGCAGCCAAGGAGCGCTAGGAGGTGGCCGTGGCATTGCCACTCCCAAACCCCTCTATTGGGAAGTGCCCAAGTGGCCCCAGGCACTGGCCAATCTCTGCTGTCCTGTGCTGTCCTGGCTGCTCCAGCCCCCCTGTGCTGGCCCTGCTGCCCTGGCATTGCTCCCTCACTGGGCAGCTCTCAGAGGGGCTTCCCCTGGATGGACACCTTGTTACAGTGACCATGGTGACCACAGTGGCTGTGGTGGCCACGGTGACCTTGGTCACCTTGGAAACCACACTGGCCACGGTGGCCTCAGTAGTTACAGTGACCACAGTAGCCACAGTGGGCACAGTGACATCATGGGTCACTGTGGGCACAATGGCCATGCTGACCATGGTGGTTCCAATGTCCAGAGTGGCCAGATTGGTCATAGAAGCCAAAGTGGCCACAGTGGCCATAGTGGTAATAATGGCCACAGTGGTCACACGGGACAAAGGGACCATAGTGGTCATAATGGCCTCGGTAACCTTGGTGGCCTAAGTTCCCTGGAGGTCCTTGTGGCCTTCATGCTCATGTTGGCCACAGTGGCCCCCAGGACCACAGTGACTTTGGTGGCCTTGTGGCTTAGAGGGTTCCAATGGCCACTGCCATGGCCATGGTGGCCAGGAGAAGCCCCCCAAGGTGGGGAGAGTTCCTGGGGAGGCTCCCACCTGTGGGGACAAAGAGAGTGGTCAGGGGGATCATGGGATGGGAGGGTCAGTTGGGTCAGGAGGGCCATGGGGAAAGGGACAGGAGTAAGGGGGGACCCTGAGGTTGTGAGATCAGAGGGGGCCATAATGAGCCCTTTCCTCTGCGCCCAACCATTGGCTGACCTTGTTGTCCCAACTCAAATAGGTGTTCCCAGCACTGGATGTCCCTGTTCCCCTCACCTGGCACTGGGTGTCCCCATCTCCTGTGCCCAAACAATGCTGTCTCTGACCTTGTCCCCAGCTCTGGGTGTCCTGTCTCCCAGCCACAGTGGGTGTCCCTGTCCCCTCTGGGCCATGGGTGTCCCCATCACCATGTGTCCTTGTCCCCAACCCTCACTGAGTGTCCCCATCCCCCCAGGTTGTTCCCATGATGTCACCTCGCAGCCATTCGCAGTTGTAGTTGCTGGAGTTCCCGGTGGAGCGAAGCACAATCTGCACCTTCTTCCCTTCCCTGGTGACTTTGGTGACCTCAAAGGTCTCAAAGGGTGGGATCAGCACCTCCTTCTCGCTTTGATTGAAGGAGAACTTCTGGATGTCTGCTCCATGGCAAGTGTGCACCTCAAACATTGTGACATTCCCATAACCCTGGGCCACCGTTTTGTCCAGCGACGATGAAGCAAATTGACCAAAGCGGACTTTATCGCCAGGTGTCACATTGAACTGGACCGTCCCCACCCCACGGAACACATCTGGACACTCATGAGGGCGTCTCAGTCTCTGGAGGGCCTGGGTCAGCAGGAAATGCAGCGTTTTGAAGTGGAAGTTGTCCCGGTATTCCTGGCGGGAGCGCCCAGCCTTGCGCATGGCTGGGTTGAGCTGCTTGTGCACGTCCCCCATCGTGTAGGCCATGAGGGCGATGGCCTGGGCTGGGGACAGAGGGGATGAAGAGGAGCCTCGCTTCTGCCACTCGGCCCTGGCCTTCACCCAGGCCTGGGAAAACTCCTTGTTCTCCTGGAACTCGGAAACATTGAGGGCCGGCAAGGCCTCAGTCATGGCAGGGCCACAGTTGAGGTACTGGTCATCAAAGGAGTTCTGGGCCATGTCCAGGGGCACCACCTTGATGGCCGCAGTGGCCACGGTCATTGCCAGCAGTGCCAGGGTGTGAGCCAGGGGGGCCATGGCAAGAGAGGCCACAGGGACCAGTGTGAGACACTGGGGGACACAGAGGGGACACAGAGGACAGAGTGTGTGACACAGGGAAGACATTGGGGGATACCAGGGGATGCTGGGAGGACACTGCTGGGCACCAGGAGACACTGATGGGACAGAGGGGGATGCTGAGGGACATGGTGGGACATGGGGAGGCTTCCTTGGGGAGGGGCTGGAGAGGGAGAGTGGGGTCAGCCTAGGGAGGGGGTCACCCTAGCC